GGGACCGGCCCCGGCTCCGCGCCCGCCGCTCCCCCACTGCGGAGCGCCGGCACCAACCGGCAGCAGCCCCGCCGTGCGCAGGCGCCGCCGGCGGGGAGCCCGCCCGGCCCCGGCCGCCTCCTCGGCTCTTTCCGGCACCGCTCGGGCGGCGCTGCCCTTCCAGAAGAATCTGGAACGGGAGGGAGGCAGGGAAGGAGGGAGGGACGGAGGGAGCGGTGCCACCCGGGAGCGACGCCCCGCGCTCACGTCAGCGCTGCGGCGGCACCGCCCCGCCCGCCCTTAAAGGGAGCGCGGAGCTCCCCCCGCAGGGCCGGGGTTGGCTGCGACACGGCCCCAGTTAATGAGATTATAGCAATCCGTAGCAATTATTGCCGGGCGGTGATTGGGGTCATTAATACAGCCGTGCCTGGAGCGGGACAGACCCCCAGCTCCCGGAGCAGGTGGCTGGCCTGGAAAACCCTGAGGCCCAAGGTGCAGGGTTAGCCCTGGGTCAGAAAGCCAAGTTAGGCATTAAAAATGGAATCAACTCAGAGGTGGAGATGGCTCCTGGTGCCAGGGACAGGCAGAGTGGCGACTGTCAAGTCCAGTATTCCACCCACTGCCAACACATGTGGAAGACCGTCCTTGATTTGTGCCAACATATTCCCAGAAGCACTTCATCTGTCTTAATTTCCTAGGAAAAAAAACCAAACCAAACCAAAACAAACAAAAAAAAGACATCCTGAATCCAACTATCTCTACTGCACTTAACCCATGTTTTATGGGTGTCATTTTAGGTATCTGGGGACTAAAACTATACAAAACAAACCTACAGACTGGAAAAGCTCTGTTAAGTATTTTTTGGCTTCTAAAAATGACATCTGTTTCACACAGCAATGTGACATCTTTGTGACACAGCATGTGACACTGCACTGCAGTTTGGTTCTACTGGAGAGACTAAAAATAAGCACTAAACCACTAAACTAGTTTAGCATCCCTATCAAGAGGTTTGATTATCTCTCCGTTTCAATGGTCTCCTAAATAACCAGAATTTTCCTAAAACCTTCAGGAGCAAGAGAACCCACTGTTACCTAGAGTTATTTGTAAGACAACTACTATATATGCATTAACAACCTCATTTTCCATGCTAGAGTTGGGATGGGAAAGCCAAACCAGGTCCAGTCCCACCTGCAGTAGCCTGGCAGACACATCCCAGCTCTGCTTTCTGCTCTGCTCCTTCCATCCCTCTTCCAAACCCAGCGATTCCAAGTATTGCAGCAGCACGTGAGGATGACTACTGACTGAATAGAAACCACAGGCCAAGAGATTGTCTGCAAATTGCTCCCGTGTGCCTCTGCAACCCAACTAAACCAGGCCCAGCTGAAATTGTGCAAGCAGACCAGAAAGTGCCAATGGACATTTGATGTGCTTTGCCAAGAGCTGTGAGATAAGAACACAAGCAGGGTAAGCCAAACCCTTACTTTGTAAAAGCCATGTTTTGTGTGCTTCAGGGTCACGATGCCCAGCCTGCGAGTATGAACAAAACTCACCTCAGTCAGATAAACCACAGACTTGTCTGAGCATCTCTCCCCTCCTTATCATCCACTGCCACTGCAGAAATCTCGCAACTGGGCTTGTCCAAGTCTTGCCAATTCTTGGCCCGTGGATTGCATCTGATTTTTTAGCAGCTAAAAAAATATTTGTACAAACTCGGTGAGCTAAGGGTTTCATGTGAAACTTAATGGCTGGGGAGAAACGTTAGGAATGCTGCTAGCTTTAATTTCTTTTAAACCAGACATTTACATAAAGGCCTCCTAAATGCTTCTTTTGGACCCTAAGTTATCAGTACTCCACAAGGCTTGGTTTATTTTTCCTTTCCCTATTGAAAATTATTGCCTCAGAAAAAAAAGTCTCCTCATTGATGTGCATGCTATGATTTACCTTCAATACTGAGATAAGAATCCTCAGCTATTTAAAATTCTCTCAAGAAATACTGTGTCCCAAGTGTTTAAGTGCTTGGGGCTCTATGTTTTTGGGCTGTTTTGCCTTAAAATGCTGCCAGCCAGATCAGAGCCTTCTCAGTGTTGTTTGAGAGACGGGACAGGGAGAAAAGTGAACAGCTTTATTTCTTAATGCCAATTTTAAAAAGAAACACAAACTCCTTTGCTGTCCTGACTTTAAAATATCATCAAAACACATCAACAGGTGAGAAACAAGTTTTCTTTTTACTGTGATTCCTGTAGAACCTGTCCCAGGCAGATCCATACTCCCAGGGGGAGGCCATACAGCCCAGGGAAGCTGCTGTTCCCAGGATATATTCAGGGACCAGCTGTAATTTAAAATTCAAGATGCGTAACATTCAGTATGAATAAAATGGAAACAATGAGAATTTTAAACAAGAGGGGAGTAAGTATTTTCTTGGATTCACTGTCTTTCCACAGTAAAGAACACTAAGGAACTTTTTTCCTAGTGTTTTGCTTACTCCAAGGGAGTGATCTTTTGCCTAATAAATATTTATCTGGTGTCATGCTCTGTTAGCTGCTTCCAATGACTAAATTTAGAAAGGCTGTGATCCTTCTTCTGATGCTTCTTTTTAAGCTCTAGTGGGCAAGTAGAAGGCTTAGGAATTAAATGAGGTCACTGCAGTCCTAAGGGTGCTCTGAATTGTTTCAATGCTATTAAAATTTACACAGCTAATTTCTTTTCCTTCTTTAGTATCACTGAAATATTTTTAAACCAAGTAGATTGCAGTTCATTAGTGATCAATAGAGTCCTCTAAATCATATTATGAGTTGTATTAGGAACCAACACTGGTTTTTGTCTTCACTAGCAAAAAACATGTACACTTTTTGGGGGAGAGATGAATCCAAATCCCTCTCTTCGTGTCCAGTTCTAACTGGAGAGAAGATACTTTTTTTTAAACTTAATGTTGAAGTTTTAACTTAAATTACGTACATCTGAAATCAAATCCACCTGCAATATCCAGGGAAAGTTCTAGGTTCTGCATAATGGCAGAAAGGCAATCTTGCCTTAGGTCACTATGATAGACACATATGAAATACAGTCAATATAAGTGCAGCAACACAGCTAAAAACCATTTAACATATTTTGTTTTGAATCAACATGCATATATGCAAATGAAAGGCTATTTGGTAATGGTTATACTGCTTAGCTGAAAGAAACAAACTTTGCTGAAATCAGCAACTGTAGTGTGCTTGTTATTTTGGAAAGTTATCCCATCTGGAAAATACAGTTTTAAGTGGAAAAATAAAAGGTGCTATATTTAATTCAGGGCCCCCACTTCGATCAGAATAAGCAGCATGATAAGGAATTGTTAAAAATTGTCCTAATCAGCTTCATTTGAACCCAAAGCTTCAGAACTAAATGAATGAAACAGGGAACCCCCTCCCCCAAAATATATTTATACATCCACAACATAGATAAAAAGTCTCCCAGTCTCTTTTGTGCTAGTAAGCCCGTTATCTTATTCCATATGATTATAATTTATGTTGTTAATAATTTTGATTATGTTTCCTGTCCTTGGGGTAAGTTAATTACCAGCACTTGGGAGTAAAAACAACATGAACTGCAGTCTTGCTGCTCATGGAGCAGAGAAAGCAGAATATGGAGACAGTGCAATCATATTTAGTCTGAAAGGAAGATGTCAGTAGTGCCAAGGGTGTAAGCTCCAAGGTCTCTGTTATTTAGGACAGATTACCAGAGGTATGTAGGCATTACATAAGAATTTAAGTATCCCGGGGATTTTTTGCAACGACCTAAGCAACTTCTATGCCAACATTTATTCAGAATTTCTTCTGACTTCCTGGAATACTGAGAGAAGAGATTCTAGAAAGAAAAGCATACAGATAACTTTGGAACTAACAACTCCTTTCTATTATCACATGGCAAAACTTCCTCAGGGACACAGGGAGAAAGGTCTTGATTTTTCAGGAGCATTTTTGTGGGGTTTTTTACTTCTTGTTTAAGGATGATTTTCACAGCAATAGTTATATTATTAAATGTACTTCAGTGCTACTGAACTACCTAGTAAAATTACCTAATAGTTAGCAACAAGATCCAACATTCATTGCTAGTAATTCCCTGTCATACCCATTATAATTAACTTCCAAGAGAAGTAACTCTCAGCTCGTACTAAGCTTTCCCTGTTTCTGATTCTGCCACACACCTGAAGAACAGCTGTGCCACACAGACTATTTTTCTAGCTGCATGGGCTGAGCTAATAAAGGATATTATTCTACCCACAAACCTGTCTTTGAGCAGGAAAAGGAAAACAAATCCTGATTTTGTACTGAAAGCTGTTACCAAGCTGTGAACTGAACGTACTTTTACAAAGCGAAAATGGAAGCTTGCACAAATTCCATAAAATGTATGTCAAATCCAGGAGATAAGAAGTATAATCTTGATCAATTCTCTTGTTAATCCTATTGTAAAATGACTTGGCTCTTCAGTAATAGTCTGTTGAGCACAAATAACTGTAAACAGAAAAGCTGTAACTAACACCCTCATTAGTTCATAAAAAATATTTAGAATACCACGATAAAGATTTAAAATGTGTTTTCATTTTTGTTTGTAAAAGCTACCTTAATGGTGTTACAACATTCAAAACAGAAGGCCTGGTGTACTGAACCACCAAACCCCTGGTACAGACCAGAATTCTATCCATCTTTGCGATTTTAATAATACAGTCACCAGGTTCCTGGAAGTGTCGCTCAGCAGCAGAGAAATTTCTGCATATTGTTATGCATTGCAGACACCCTCCTTTTAGTACCAGCTACTTGCACAACTGAAACATTTAAACATAGTAGTTTATTGTTTTGTCCCCTTATTAACAAAGCATAACAAAGAAATCAAGGTGTGGAGGGATGAACGCAATTTATTCAAACAGAGAGAGATTCCCATTTGCTGAAACACTTCAGGTCAAGTAACTATCATTCCAGTGTTGTTCTCATTCAGCAGAATCCAGTAAGAATTCTCATGCTGTTTCTCTGGAAAGAAATTTTCTCCGTAATACCAAGCTTTCGGTTCCAAACCACAAATTCTCACTCATATTCATGAGAAATGTTACTTGTTTCAACTTTTCCCTATAGTGGAATAGCAGCCACAAACTGTGACCAAGTTAAAAAAAAAAACCAAACACTTTTTGTATCTATAGATTTTTCATCTGTTTCCAGCTCTTAGGGTTCCCCACAGGTGAAACCAGAGCATACAATAAACCAGCCTTTGAAGGAAGAACTACAAACCCAACACCTTCTTAAATGGAAGGTATCACAGAACTGTTGATTCGGCCCAAGTGCAGCACAGAGAGAGCAAGAGGTGAATCAAAGCAGCCAGTTCCTGGGACAACCTGGCACAGCACAGACAGCAACTGCAATTCACCTGACCGATTGCAGGCAAAGCAGGAAAGCCAAAAACCACAGAGATTGGATTTCACCTATTTGAAATGCGTCTAGAGACATAACATACCCGAAATCTTTGTTGAAAAGCTTCAGTTGATATTCTTGATATAGAAGAAAGATGGTAATTGACTCTTTAAATGGTACCCCACACAGCCATAGGATAGCAAAAAATAAGCTCCTCTAATTGCTGCACCCAGAGCTGGCAAAATTCAGTTAAACTTTTCCCTACAGAATCTAAAAAACCACAAATTTTTAGAGCTATGCTATAGCACTGTTTCCAGAGAATCTTCTTACACTCAGCTTCATCCTCTTCTTTAAAGATTTTACATTTCTCGTTACTTTTATGCTTACAATTGCATATTGGTAAATTTTTAGGTAACAGAGTTCTAATACAGTTCTATATTAGTCTACCTCTAAAATGAAGTAAATGTAAATACCTGAGACACATCAGGTGAAACTGCAACTGCCACTTCAGAGATTTCACTGCCTTTCCCAGTCTCAGCAGCTACATGAGCTCACGTGAAGTGGCACAGGCACATTCCACACAAGGATGTCACTCTTGCTGCTCTGCAAGAAGCCAGATTTGCCAAAACCCCCTTTCAAAACTGAAACGCAAGAACTGCTGCGTACAGTTAAGAAAAAAAAACAAAAAACAATCAAAAAACATGGAGTAATTCCTATACTGGGGTACTGCCAAATTTCCACTTGTAAAAGCTAATCCCAGTGGAATAACAGCTGTGTTGACCTAAACTGCATCACAGGTACGTCTTGTGTAGTAAACGCAGACCATGTGGATGTACTCCAGTTTTTATTTGCTGGTTTAGTAACAACAACACTGTCCTGAACAAAACACAGAAGAAATCATCCAAAGATTCTGAGCTTCAACAATGGATATGCCACTTTGCTAAATACTGTATTTCTGAGGAAATTAATGTTGAGTGTTATTCATGGAATGAATGACACTTCCATCTGGAAGCATTTCCAGGAGACGGGAGATTTGAAGAACTATACACAGTGTTATTTACATCATGCATGCTTTACTTTTTCCACTGTAAGGAAAGAAAGAAATAAACCCGCCTTAAACTCTTTACACACAAAATGATTGTAACTGAAAAAGGACTATTTAAAATTTTGCATGCGATACAAGGAGATTTATCAAACGTTAATGACTGACAGAATTTCTCCTGGTCAGCACTACCAGAAAAGTCTGTGGCAAGAAAAGTTTCTGGTGTTACAGTAAAGAACAGTCAACAAGAAAAAGCACAGAATGCTGGATTCTTGTTTAAATTACCAAAACTAACCAGAGAAATCCTGAAACTGATAACCTAAGAAAGGGACAAATTAAGCAGATTTTCCATCTATTTTAATTAATATTAAATTATGTATGAAGATTTTTTTCCATTCTGCTGATATGAATGGATTTTATGTAATTTGCCAAATGCCAATATGAACATTTCATATTCCAAGGCCATGATTTCTTGTGATTCATTACATGGGTGTAGAGCTCTGTGTCTTTCAAGAATCCATCCGAACGATGGCATATTTACAGGCACCTCACAGAGTCATTAAAGATCAAAAGCCAGATTTTATTACTTTTATTACTTAAGCTACACAGTAAGCCATGCTGACTCTTCCTCTTGTTAGAAAATAAGCTCATTAGAAAACCATATCAATATACCACCACTAATTACCAATCCGTGATGAGGAAAAGAATTGCACAGCTCTTGACCAGATGCAATTTGTTTATTAAACACAATTCATATGCAAAAGATTATTTACCTGTTTTTCTTTATCCACTTTGGATGTGAAAATCTGTTTGCATTCACCCCTAAAAGCAAAGTTTAGAGCATGTGTTTGGAGATACTGTGTTAACATTTGCTAAATCACCACCACCAAAAATCTAACAGAGAAAGAAATGGATCTTAAAAATAACCAAAAACTTTAGGATTTTCAAAGTTTACACCAAGTATATTGTACTGTCTCTCTTCTATTTGGTCTGAGCTGTAAAACCCTTCCTTTTAAGGTTCTTTCTTTTTCAACCATTTGGTTTTGGCAACCTGGATTTATTCTGACACACATTTAGTGTATGAATTTGGTGTCAGCACAAGAAAATATCAAACTGCAAGTGAAATATCAGTAACAATGAGAAATAGCTTAGATTTTCAACTTCCTTCATGAATTTCTAAGTCTAGGGCAGAGCATTTCACAGGAATGTGCAGAAACTGCTTTCCTACAACATTTTGGCTGCCATAGGGGGTGCTCACACTCCATATGAAAGCAATGCCAAACGGCTTACAGAGGTATCAGGAGCTTGGTAGCACTTTTTAAGTTATATTATTCTTCTAAATTAAAGAAAGTGTTTCAAATTCTGCTGTGACTCACTTGTGTGTTTGCTCCAGCCAAGTGAAACCCAGTTTAACCCAGTAACTGGCAGCACAGTAACCCTGTCTGGCTGAACACAAGGATGTTCCTTCTTCCATCTACTAGGAAATCTAATATCCAAACCTCAGGTATTTTAGAGTTTCGAGAGGTGCTGATCAGATGTCATCCATGCAATTATATATTCTGATTTTTCAAACAGAGTTGCATCTCACATCACATAATTTACACATTACTGATATAACTCAATTTTGTATGTCCTAAACTGTTGTTTATGTGCTAAGAACAATAACTTCTGGAGAAAGCTGATTAACAAAAATCTTAAATCATATGCCTGAAATTCAGGGCTAAGACTTCTACTGCTTGGAACTAAAGGCAACTGTTGAGTGATCAAGACAAGCTGTAAACTACTCCATAAGAGTGGGCTCTTAAAGCATTTGATTTACTATTTTGGAACTACTCGTGACAGTTTTAACTTCAAGTGACAACAAGATCTAATGATTTGGTCACGATGCCTCTGGAACTGAATTTACTTTCCTGAACTCTTAAAACTTTTTGATCCTGCTGTTCAAAATGCAACTTCAGTCATGCATTTTATGAAAAGCAAATAGAAACAGCAGAAAAAAAAAAAAAAAAAAAGACCCAAAATCTTACATTTTAAACCAAACTTGAGTAAAAAAAAAGGCTTTAGGAGCAGCTGATCTGTAACTTACAAATATTTTAATAATAAGCTAAATTTTGTAGAATTCTTCTGATTTTGCAAACATCTTGCCTCACATGGATATAACCTAACAGGTTTTGTAATATCCAGTTGTAAACTGTAGAAGATCTAACTAAACAAATCTAAATAAACAAAAGCGGAAATATATGAAGTAAAAAAAAAATAGATGAATGCTCTATTTGTTTTTAACAAATATACATTTTTATTAAGAAATTAGGAATAGAAAATAAGCCAAGTCCATGCAGAAGTCTGAAAACCATCTCCCCCGCCCCCCATCTTTCTTCGTGTCTTCAAAATTGCATTTTAACAAATGTGAGTATTATTTATAGTTAAAACTCATGAAGTCAAGTAAAACATCAACCACACTGCAGTCCTTGAGTGTGCAGGAGAGCATAATGGCAAAAATGATCAGCCATTAGTTTTGTGAGGCCAAGTGCCATTTGTCCAAAAGATTTCTTTCTGTGTTGATCAACTGAAAACATTCAGTATTTTCGAGGCCCTTAGAGAAGCAAAATTTTAACTGATTGGAAAATTTTTTTTTTTTCCTTCATCACCAGTTGCCAGATGTTCAGAGTACCTGGAGGATCAGCTTATCATTTCATATTGCATACTGTGCCCTGACAGCAATGACTGTACAAATTATGTGAGGTTTTCAGGTGATAAAGTTATGACCAGGATAAAAAAATTGACAGTATATAAAAATAGGAACTTTGGTTCTCTGAAATATTTTTAAGTATTCAACTGATAAGATCATTGGAATCACCACAGAAGTTTTACCTATGTCACACCACAAGATATTTCTGTTTTTCTAAAGCATTTCGAAGATATACCATGGGTGGGCACCCAAATTGAGTCCAATTCCCTTTATATGGAATACTTTAAAGAAATAACACCACCACGAAGGGTGGCTGAGTGTCCAGGAAGCTCATCTACGTAGCTAAGCCAAAAGACAGTTTAAAGGCCAGTTCAACAGCAGCTTCTGTGACTGAGTCATGAAAACAGACATAACACTCCTGAGGTTTTGGATGTAGAATGAGTCTCCTGGGAAAAAAAAAAAAAAAAAAAAAGAATAAAAAGAAGAAAATCATTAGAGTTGTTAGTTTTTTTTCTCCTGAAATTATAAACTCTGAGGTTTCAGTAAGAAGTAGAAACCAGCTCCTGTGTGAAACAGCTGGCAAATTTCAGTGTCTCTCCTGCATTTAATTTTTAAATCAAGTTATTCTCTGTTTGGTTTTCTCATGGCTGCGTATGGAAAAAAGTCTTCAGGATTTCAGGATCTGTTTGTGTGGTGCCGGTGTGTTTGTAGCAATCCAGGTTTCTGAGCTACAAGCTGCAATCAAGGTCCTTGGGAGCAAGCGCCAGTATTAAAAATTTACTAATTCCCACATACTAATCCAATGAGCTCTTTTAGGGAAAGAGCTAAAATAGGAAAGCTGTTAATACCTGTGCATAACCTCATGTAGCATTATGATTATTTTTGAAAGATATCAACAGTAGCACAAACTTTTTGAAATGTTTCAATTAACGATTTTAATTTTTCCATGCAAGCAGCAGTTATGTACGTTCCCGGTGGGAAAGAACTGCTTTTCTTTTTTTCTCTTTAAACATCTTCTCTCCCCTCTGCCAAAGCTGTCAGCTCCGTGCTGTTTTCACACTGGCACGGTGCTCCCCTCAGTTAAAGGTGGAACTTCACACCAGTGCAATTCTCAATCCCAAATTAAAGCTACCTCACTCAGTCTGCTCAAGCATTTCGGTGCTGTGCCACAGTTATATTTATTCTTAAAGAGTAGAACAGCATACTCAAAAGCTGGAGGCAAAATCTGTCTTTGAACTTACCCCACAACCCAGTAATTCATTGTTGGCGGTGGTTTCTTCTGGTCAGCCCAGTTCTCAGGAGAGCACTCAAACAAAACACCGTGTTCTCTCACCACACCTGAGTCATCAGCTGCCTTACTAAATTCTGAAATTCCACTGCCTGCCTTTTTCTTTTTCTGTAAAACAATTGTTGAAACGTCAGTAGAGAATGAAACATGTTTACATAAACACTAGCAAAGATGTGATTTCTTCAACACTCTGGCGAATGACATTGCTGTCAAAAAGCCAGGCTTAGAAGATGTAACGAACTTGCTTACACGATTCCTCTCTCCATGGTTTTGTTCCTTTGGCATTAAAAGGCTTTTCCATTGTTACACCACTTGGATTTAGACACATGCTCCCTGTTTTGACTTTTTTTTTCCTTCTAGCTGAACACTATTTCTCTGTTTAGACATCTGAAATAATACAGCTCCTTCAAAAAAGTGTTGCAACAGCTAAAGCTATCATCTTTCCTTCTCTGTGGGCCTCCCTAATTAAGAACTGTGATAGTAAAAGTCCACTGAATAAACTTGGCCAGGCAGGAATTTCTTTTTGTAAATAATCAGCTGAAGCACTTTGCTCAGAGCATTTTCTTACTCTTACCAGGTATGAGGGCATAAGATGTACAGAAAATAAACACATTTTTGTGTTTCGTTGAACTTTCAGAGCCATGTTTTATACAAAGCTTTTGAATAAACCTTAAAGATTCAGTTCATCTCTGGATCTGCAAATGAAACTCCTATTCCAATCAGTTGCTTCAAAAGGTGAAATAAAAGGTTTTCTTGGAAGAAAATCTCAAGGAACTTAAGTCTGCAATAGGCAGAAACAGAAACCACAACTTTCAGTTGCCTACAAGAGTGAAGATGTGGGGGGCTGAACATCTAGAAAAGATGGTCAAAACACCACTGTCCTAATCTGTCAAAAATGGTAGAAGAAAAAGTGAAATGCACCTTAGCAGTTCATAAGCAAAACGGGTAATATTTGTCTGAGTGTCTTGAATTTCCTTAAACATGCTTTGGATTAAATCAATAAAGCACAGCCCAAATTACTCATAGTTTCATAAAGATTTCACGATAGACAAACCTTCCTGTATCTTTCCTTAGTACATAAAAATTGTTTCACGTCAGTAAAAAATAAAAATCAACTGTGCAATTAGCAAAGCAGTGTCTCATAAATTGAGAACCTGCCCGTAACAGTAATATCAGGAGCTTAAAAAACAACACAAAGGCAAACGCAGCAAAGCATTGAAATAATTAAGCGAAAACAACCTGGAAACACCGAGCTGAGAACGTAAACAGCAAAACAAAAGCAAAGGTTCTGTACCTCTTTCCTTAGGGATTGCTGAAAAATGGAACGAATCGAAAGGCAGCACCGATAGAAATTCTGGATTAACTGGGGGTGGATGGAGCCACCGAGCTGGGCTACTTCTCTGTGAGTTGGAGTAATAAAGATTCCTTGCATCGTTTCCAAAGAGAGATAGTGGAAGAGAGTATTCTCAGGACCAGATGTCAACCTTAAAAAAAAAATAAATAAATCAGAATTCAGAAATTTCAGTTTATCAACATACACTTTGTTTCTTAACACAGAATTGTTTTTCTGGTATCTGTAATAGAGTACAAAAATGGATACAGGCATTTTCTCTACACCAAGGAAATCCTGCTGATTTGGATTGTTAATAGTCATTTAAAAAAACCAATAACAACAAATCAAAAAACCATGGTACTAGTTAAGTACTGCACTTCTGTTCTCAAAATTTGCCCCAACAAAGACAAACGGAAAGAGAAATAAAAACGTTGTCCTTTGTACACCTACCCAGAGACACCAAGGAGGCACAAGGAATGTATATGTGTGGCTCAGAACTTTTACTTGAACTTTCAAGGTCATACAGATGTGGGACATGTGCACACAACAGTGGCATATTGTTCAGAAACAGTGTTTTATTGTATTATTTTATATTTTTCTTTAATTAAGCTCTCAATTTAAGGGCATATGCAATCCTTGCTTAGTAAAGTTTTGGTTAGAATAAAATCACACAGGAACTTCTGTGATCTGTGTATATTCAAAAAACGATCCAAGTATGGTTTAAAAAATGAACTACTTAACAAAAAATGATTTCTTACTTGAGAGCATTAAGAAGTTCTGTATCTTTCTCTGAAAGGTTCTTTTTTAGGTTTCCTAAATGGCATGGAATTGGCAGGGTGTGTTTTTTTCTAGTGGCCTGAAAAACAAGCAGACAGATGAAATAACAGAGAAAACACAGCTAAAGGAAAAAGAATCAAACCAACAAATGACTGACTTAGAAGAAAATAATGAAGCCATTTTCTGAAAATGCCCAAACAGTTGCATTAATTTAGGTAAATGTATTTTATAGCCTATTTGGGACTAAAATGGGTTAGAAGCAGTTGTACAACCGTACAGCAATTTGTCCTGGTAACTTATATTTACATCATTATTTCAGGGATATTCTCCAATTATTTCTGCTGATTCAAATGCTGCTGTGCCCACTTCAGCCACGTGAAAACCCCAAATATTTACAAGCAACGATAAAACAAAAGAAACATGTGATGGCTCTGAGGCTGACCCAAAGCTTCCCAAGGCAACAGAAGCATTTGCTACTGAATTCAGGGATTCTTAAGATTTATTCTTTTCCATTGAAAGGACTGCCACTTCCCCTAAGCCCACCGGAACCTCATCAGTTCTCTCTGCCTTTGTTCTCAGACCTGATCCGCTACAGGTTGAGGATTAGTGCTTTCATCTTCTGCAGGACCTTCGCCACCCTGTTGGGGTCCTCCACTGTTTCTGGTCGGGCTCAGCTTCCCTGTTGTTAGGGAGGAGTCCCCAAACAGAGACTTTCTGCTCGCTGGAGTGGTCGCTGGTTTGCAAGTGTTTTGTATCTTGCTGAGGAGAGGCGAGGTGGTCAAGCTCTCCAGTTTGTCATGTGTGGCAGGAAGGAACGAGTCAGCACAAGCCAAAGGTGGAACGGAGGGAGAATCCAGCCTTTCCTCTATGCTGGCATCTATTCCTTCCAGTTGGAGTATGGTTGCTTTGACCTGATCTACGTAGATACAGTCTGGTCCTGGATTCCCAATAGCTTTGGAAGCACAGCCCCCTGCCTCTAGCAGGACACACAGCATGAAGTGTCTCTGTAAATATGAAGGGAGCAACATTAGCCTTGGGTTTAATATACAGGATGTGCTGTGTTGTATCTTATCTGAGATTGGGGTAAAATACAGCACAATATTCAACACTCCTTCCTCACCTTCAGAGGAGTTGTTTTCTTCCAATCAAATCACATCCATGGACATCTCTCTGTTATTGTGTTATTTAAGTTAATGACTCAAACATAAAAGCTGTTGTTTACAAATTTATTAGCTGTTTGCTTTAAGGAAAGTCTACATTTAAAAAAACAAAACCAGACATTTCTGAAACGAGTTGTCTGAAAAGACAAGATCACAAAGGTAAAAATACTTTCAAGTGACGTGAAAAGACATAAAAATGATGAGAATTTATACTTGAACTTTGCAAGCTTTGCAGATGTATAAAAAATGCTACTCTGAGAAATTCTATCCCCTAAAACAACTGCAATATAAGTATTTTGTAAAATTACTAAAGAAAATGCTTGTAATATTTATATCTTACTGAACAACAGGCAAGACACAACAGCAAAGAAGAGCCCCAGAGAACGGGCAGTATCTGCAGCTTTTAACTTACCAAGCCAACTATCAGTAAGAAGTATCTTGCTTCGGGTTCCCTGTATCCTGTAAAAGTTGACCCTTCACACGGCTGGATGTGATGCTGTGGAAACACCTCCCGCCAAATCACTAACTGAGCGATCCTCTGTTCTGCTGCCAAGGGTAACAGACAATAGTGCCGACAGTACGAACCTACATCAACCAGATCTTCCTTTGGCAAGTGATTACCAACCAAGTAACCCTTAAGTAAACACAGAAAAGGAGGTGCGTTCAGTAAGGAATACACCACCACCACGCATCGCTTCAGAGTTCTTTCTGCATAGAGGTATCCCTGCTCCACACGCACTGTCATCCTGAGCTTTCTGCCCACAGACCGTCATCTTGGGGTACACTTGTACAACAGGTAACACAGAGCTTTAGCACCGCACCTAGAGACTCAAAATACTGAAACCATCAGCATATATGCAAATTATCAAAGGTGAGCTGGGAAATGCACGGCTTTAACAGCTTGAAAACACCTACAAGCGTTAAGTTGCTGGAGTTGTCATTTAATTCTCTCTCCAAAAATAGTGAGCTTTCACTGGAATTAATAACATTTCCAAAGAAGATACACAACACAGCAGCAGCTTTAGCTGCTTTACAGCTCAAGTGCTGTCAAAATTCCTATTAGAATATCCTACAGTCTCACTAGAATTGACTCTTACTGCTTCATTTCTCTCTCTCCAATCCTCTGATCATACACCAAAAAATTCCAGTTTCAAAGAAATAGTTTGTTTTTACTGATCATACAATACATATAATTTCCTTTCACATTTTTTTTCTGTTATGGTGTTTGAGTTCTGGTACTAGAAATTTATGTTTAAAGCATATATTTATTTCATATTTATTTCATATATTTCATATTTGTGAGGTTCTGCCTAAATTAGATTTCTACCTGCATTTTGCTCATCTTTAGATCTTAATCCTTAATATTACCTTGTAGAAGAGACAAGAGCCCAAAATCATATATAATCTTCTCATGTCATAATAATCTTCAGACTGTGGGGGAAAAAACACCAATTGTACCATTTTTAATTCAGAATTTTTGTTTTCTTTACCAAATGCAAGTGAACTACTTCAGGTAAATTGTAATCAATATATTACTTAATGTTTTCATATTTGACCCCCTCTTATTACCAGTACAGCAATTAATACTGAGCAGTAAAGGGAAATACCAAACTTTTAGCCTCCATTATTGATTTGCATATCACTAAAATTTTCTCCATAAATTTCAGCTGATGAAATAGTTTCCTATTTAATTGTTATTTGCCCATTAGCAATTTCTGTTAGGATATGCTCGCTCTCACAGTTCTTAACAGCAAAGTACCTGCAGCATAACTACTGACACCAGGGGCCCTCACAGAGTCAAACTTTCAAGTCAAAGCATTTTTTTCCAGTGCTTGACATTTTACCTAAAATATACCAATTCATTGATCTTTTAATGCTGGGGGCTCTCTGATTACTAACACTGTGTTTAGATGGATATCCTGTAGTTTAAATTAAGTAGGTGCACCCAATTTCCGTGCAATAAACTGTAACTTGCAGACACTGCTTTCTGTAAGTACTCATCCAGCTTGTTTAGAGCAGTGATTCTTTTGAATAGAATTTTAAAGCAACTGTTCCGAAACATGAGTTTAAGAGAGCTCCTTCATGACAAAGTAAAGCTGAAATTTCAATATGTTGACACCTTGCACAGCAAGGTTTATTCACAATTGTTTAGGAAGGAGAGTTATTTATACAAAGAAGAAACGTAACAGCAATCAGCTGCGTTAAAATTTAAGTGTGTTTGTAGACAACTGTCCTGGGTTACACAGTGACTCTGGTATCCACCTTTTCTTTTCTCTTTTCCCCAAACAGGCCTACTAATTTAGACTGCGGGGAGGGACTTAAGATAAGGGTGGTACTCTTGTTATCCTAGAGGAAGAATGTATCCACCAGTGTGAAAAGACGGGAAGGCTGATGACTCAGAGGGCAAGCGCACCTGCCGCCTCAGGCTATGAGCTGGGTATTGTTTCTTTGTCCTTACACAAACAACATCTGTCGTAACTCCCCTTGGAGAGGCATCAGGACAATTCACACACGTGGCCTGAAGATACTCATCTCTGCTGATGGCCACCACGGATCCACCTATGCTCAGAAGGTGTCAAAGACGTGAAATGTCCCCTGACGCACCGTTAGTTTTGCAGCCCTGCTCCAGCTGCCTGTGCTGCCACTGCAGCCTCACTCCAGCACTGACCCTCCAAACTGTTCCTGACAGGTTTTACCGGGTGGGTGGATGCCGCCTGCCATCTTGTCTTGGTCCGGTGGGCGGGAGCTTGGGAATTTTTCTGGTAAGCTTATCCCAGTTTTATCAGCTTTGTTTAGCATCCTTCTTGGTAGAGAGTTATTTTTTCCACTTATATCTGGGCATGTTTGATATCTCTCTCCCTCAATCTCTCTATTGGAGAGAAGCAGGGGTATCGAATCAGAGGAAGGAGACTTCTGTCCAAGGTCTCTGCCCCTCCAAATTGTCTAAAACTGAGACAACATCCCATGGACTCAAGTTACATTTAAATCATGGACTTTCAGTGATTAATCCTATAGGGTTATAATATTCTGTAATATTAACCATGGAGAGAAATCCAGGATAAATAGAATGGGTAAATCGATCTGTCTTTAAAGAATAATATCGTATTGCTTTGCTGTGACTCTCACTTGATTAGAAAAAGCGGATGAGTTTGAAATGAGTGCTGAATATGACACCAAGGCAAAGAGATAGTGAGCAGTGCAAACAAATGCCGTGCAATGCAAACAAAACTAAGGTGTTTACCAGCTCTGCGAAGTCAGCTGCTTCCAGATCACTCAGTGCTGTGTCAATTTCCACCTGAAATATTTAAACAGTGCTTTTTAATAGACATTTCCAACACATTAATTTCCCATAATACCACAGGTTGCTCCGTCTTGCTGGTCTCAGATTAGAAGTAACAAATACAAACTTCTTGGGCTGTATTAACAGGCTGCCTCTAATTGAAACAGTTTTCAAACAGAGCAATGTCAGCGAGGCTGTTGGCAGGCAAAAATGAACCAGTCTCTCAGCTTTTCCCAGTCAAAATTTAAATGGCTTTCTGCCCAAAGAACTGACATTTTTTAGCTTTATATTCCTTATAGGATATAAAGATCTTCACCAAAATGTTAACTGGAAATGTCCTGTTCTGCAACAACAACATTTTTTCTGGCACGTCTGAATGATCTCAGACAACTCTGGGAAGTGATATCTGTATCTATCAACGATTCCGTTGTCTAAATCCCTTTAAAACTTACTATTTTGCAAGAAAGAAACAACCTGGAAGCCAAACTACAGAACAAGCTGCAACAGAGTCTGTCTACAGAAACTTGAGAGAGAAGAAAAAAGCATGGAGCAAAAAAAACCCTAATCTCTTCTGAGACACTCCATAAATATGCACTTCTGTAGCTAAAACATATATAACAGGGTGTTCATACATATTATAAAAGCAGAGGATGGACTACAATAATTGCAAACACATTGTCCTCAAGCACATATTTAGCAAAAATATATCTGGATGCACACTGCAGGGTAAGGTAGAAAGAACTAAATAACTATCAGCCTGCAACTAAAGATAAAGGAGGAGACAATTCTCCTTTAAGAGAAGGCCACAAAAATATGTTTGGAAACTAACAGCACTGACTGATGCACAACTTGCAACATTCGGGGTAATTTCTATTACTGAATCATAGCAAACCTGTAATCATTCTGCAAAAAAAGCCTGACAAGAGTAAAGTTGAAAGACTCACCCCTTCATCCCTTCCCCTCCAAACACACTTATAAAAATGATACAGTGAGGTCTCATAAAAATCAGAAACCCAGGAAAGTCCTAGTTAGTACTATCTTCAAATAAAGACCCTATAAATTACAGAATATGCTACTGCAGAAGAAAGGTCATTTTGAACATCCAAACTCAGTCCTTTCACAAAGCACTTGCAATTTTCCACGAAGTTCAGCAAGTACAACGTTCATTTCTTTTACTGCTGCTGATGAAATAAGTTTGGATAATGGAGTTTACGGTCAGTTCAGATTACAATCATTGTCTAATAATTAGAATTAGCCTTAACTATGTTATCTACAAACTTACAAATATTTTGGGTCTATCCATGAAAGGACACTCTGAGCTTAAAAAACTTCCAAGCTGTTTTATTTGCATTAAATCACAGCAAATACTCATTAAAAAACAAACTCTACCATGACAAGACTAACATATTCTAAACCAGAAACAAAGATATTAGAGCCATGAAAATGACATTTACGACTGGCAGCTATAATTCTATTTGATCTATCTTTTGTCTTGTTGGTGCTTAATGCACAGCTTAGTTTCTAATTAGGAGGTAACCAGACACAGTAGAACGGTGCACAAAAGCTGTCACACAAATGGCATGTGGATATTTATTTTGATTCTGCAACAGCCATTTATAACTCTCCTAAATTACAAGCTATGAGCTTCTGGAGTACTATTTCCTACCTGGAAAAAAACACACTTCAATGGTCAAAATCAAACATAAAGCTGCATACCAGGGGCTTCTTTCCCTACTCTATATCCTAGTTCTTAGAGATTTGTGTGTATATATTTTAAATAAAGTTTTAAATCCTTTGTCATCACAATCTCTTCCTAGATAACTCCAAAGCCACTAAATACACGGTGGGAATGACAGCGTAGCTCCAAACCTGAATAAAGGATCTGGTAGGAAAACAGACGGTCTTGGACGAGCAAAGGTAAATTCCACAAACAGAAGATTTTTTTGGTCTCTCACACACAAGTTTTTCCGGGGAGATGTGGAAAGGACATTACCTTGATGTCCTGAGGCAGTGTCAGCCAGCGCAGGCCTGGCAGACTGTCCAGGAACAAGGCACTGCAGCTCTCGTAGTGCCGAGCGCTGGGGCTGCCACTGGGCTTGAGCCTCCCGGGCTGGAGCGCACGCTGGAAGAACAGGTTGAAAAAATGATCGAGGCGAGAAACATTTTCCACCTGGCAAAAAGCACTGAACAAACATGAACTCCGAGTTAGAATAACATTGAGAAACTTGCAGCTTGTTTATATAACCCTCAGTGCTACACGAGTCTCCTCTGCAGCACGATGCTACGTTTGGATGTGTTTTTAACGTTCATTTTTAACGTGAAAAAACCCCACTAGGCTAATATCCGGGCAGTACCTACAAAGAACAAACTAAAGCAGTGTGGTATCATAGTAGATGTCTTAGAGCAACTTTATATGATACAAACATCAGTCTCATCCTTTTGGAAGCAGATTTATTCTTTTTCTTTCTCTATGGCATACACACGCTAAGCCTGAAGTGATGCAAGCACAGGAATAATCTATCTTGGCAATTTTATTTAGGTTACAGTCAAGACTGGAAATTTTCTGGGTGATTTCCAAATGCACAGAAAGACACTCACTGCAAATCCAGAGTGTTTACTTTATTAAAAATATAATACTGATTCATAGGTATATTTTACAGACAGTGCTTGAAACAAAGGATAACATTTGCAGAGTGCTGTTGACACCCACAGGGACTTTGATTACGTGAATGATTTAACCTAATCAAGGACAAAACTTTCTGAATTGACAAAGACTGTTTAAAAAGCGTCTTACTAGCGTTCAGACTGAAAGCAACAGGCAAGAAGAACATAATTCTGGTTTTTTATGGAAGTGTAAAGGCATGTGGAAAGAAATTCCATGTAGACATTAAAATTAATGTTACTATTTGCCTTTTTCAGTGAGCACCGATGAGAAATGTGTGACTGAAAAGAAAATACTTTTGAAAGAACTCACCTGTCCAAAGAACCGTACATAAATGTCAAGGTCCTGACAACATCTTCAATCATGTTCCTCAGCTGAGAAAGTGGCACACTAAAAAATAAAAATTAAAAATGTACAGCTTCACTGTGAATAAACAGTCCTCCTAGAACACATACATGTGGCATATTACTGATGTTATCCAGCAGTCTCTATGAAGTACCTGAATTTACCAAATCGGTTACTGTTTTATAACCTACATGTATTTCTGAAATCTTACTCCTTCAGAGCAAATGAAAAAGAAACTGCAACAATGGATATCGAAAAGATGAGAATCAAGTCAATCAAAAAAGAAGAATCACAGGTATAAAGGCTAGTTTTAGTAAAAAGAGTGCATTGCAACCCCCTTTTTTGCTTTTCTGTTAGGAGAGTACAATTTGAGGACAAAAAATAAAATTTAAAGGGAAACAAAACCTTTGCTCTGGAACTCACTTCTCTTCAGGAAGGCCAATTATGAGCAACTTGTCAGATTCTTTCCAGTAAACAACTTGAACCAGTTTTTCACATAAGAAAAGGGAGGAACTAGAAAAATTAAACCAGAAATATTTCTGTTAACAGTATGAAGTTACAGAAGAGTTAAAAACAATTTCAATGAAGTAAAAATCCTACTCAGTGCTACCCACTACAAGGAAATTCCCCCACATCAATGTACCTGCAGGCTGAGCAGTCCAACTTCAGGCACCTCGTTCTAGTTAAAATGTTACTGCCTAAATAGGATGAGTCACTCTGGTTTTGTCTATAACTTGATACATAACCCATGTTTGCTGTACATGTATGCATAGAGTAAAAAAAAATAACAATACATTACATTTCAAATACTTTTACCTGATAATCTCGGTACCAGTAACATTTTCCAGTATGTCAGACAGTGTGAGAAATATTCCTCTCACACTTTTCAGTTTTTGGGATGCTTCAGATATGGGGTACTGATAAAGAATTTCTTGCTGTGAAGAAAGTCAGCTGTTAGTTAAGCAAAGCAAAACCAACCCCCCGCCCCAAAAAAATCCCCACAGAAATCAAGATAATTTTTTTTTTTGTGTGTGGTAATAGTTTTTTTTTTTTAAACATGAAAGCTTTTTTTTAATATACTTTCATAGGGGCTGCATGGGCATACTGGAAAGTTCTAAAATGCACATGAATGTTTCTGACAGTTTGAAATGTTCTATTTTATAGAAAAGCACAACTTACTTAGAATCATGATTACATGGAGAAACATAAAATGACAAACAGTATGGCCACTGCATTTTACAGCTTTAAGTACACTGTCACCAGTCTGGTTCCAAGAAATAGGAAGAAATTCTTTATTGTCAGGGTGGTGAGGCACTGGAACAGGTGGCCCAGGGAAGCTGAGGATGTTCCATCCCTGGAAGTGTTCAAGGATAGGCTGGACAGGCTTTCAGTAACCTGCTCTAGCGGAAGGTGTCCCTGCCCATGGCAAGCAGTTGGAACAAGAAGTCTGCTATTTGTATGGCTCTTTCAGTGTTTAAATTCTGATTTAAATCATCATCAAACATACAGCTCTTCAAAACCAGCAGTAAGAATTTGGAAACTCCAGTCTCTCTATATAACCCTACCTAAGTGTTTCACATGCACAGCATAAAGCAAAACTGAGATCATATTCTCAAATAACATACACCATTAACATTTCTCATGAAACCTCTGACCATCTGTGTCAGCATATTCTTAAACAGGTCATCTTGATGCTCAGTAAAATAAGTCATCTTGAAGCATAGATAAATATTTGTGACAATTATTTTTCTTTTCCTAACCAGTTTTTAAAAATAATTTTCTATGCAAGCACTTTCAAAAATTTTGTATTATTTCAGCAACCATAAAAATACAGTAATAGGCAAAAATGATTCCTCGTCATTTATTGCTTTCTGCCAAATCATGATGGGCCAAAAATGATGAATGTAATATTAGGCATATCCACTGCAAAAGAGTATAGTAAATTATCTTTTTACACAAACAAAAGGAACATAAGCATGATCAACTTCCCTGTTTATGTCACTAAGAACATTCAGCCAGTGCCATTAGAAAATTTTCCTCATCAAGACGAAAAGAATGTAAAGTTTCATTGCAGAAGGACCTGGAAATCTCTTCATTCTTATCCAATTTAATTAGCTCTATTTACAAATACTCATTAGTGACAAGGATCTTTTTTTCTGGAATCAATCCCTCAACTGGAGAAACCCTGCTGTTTTCTAATTACAGCAGTGCAAAGGGCTAGAAAAGAGCCTTTTTTTCCACCCCTCGCTATGAACTGGGGCCTTTACACAAAATTAATTTGTGAATTATCTGCACACTTTCCCAGGGAAAGAAAAGCCAACTGTAAGACAAGGGCAGAGCAGTACCAGGCCAGTGTAAAGTGATTTAACAAGGTTCAGCACATGCACCCGTACCAGGTCAGCTGGCTCAAAAGCAAGCCCGAAAGGTCACAGGCCAAACACAGTGGAACTAATAAATGACAAGCAGCTCATTCCTTAAAAAGTGTAAACCCTCCCTCAACCCAGAAATCCAGACCTGGACAGACTCGGAACTAACGGCTTCTAGTAACACTCTCATGTAGGAGGAATATCAACATTATTCCTTTTAAGCCCTGGTGTCACCAAGAATCAGGTCAAACACAAAGATGTTATACTTGCACACACTGGTACGAATAACGTGTAACTGTAATACCTACCTTAAACTAAAATCTAAAAGAGACAGGATCAATCTTACTCACTGAAACTGCTGCCATCTGGGACACCCCCCACAGGCACATCCCAAATGATTTCCAATACTACTTTCCTTTATAGCTGGACAGACAGAGCTTACAAGTCTTAAAGCTCATTAATTCTATTTTTAGGTGCCAAAAGCTTACAAGTGGGAGAATTAGTTAGCAGTTCCAGTTGCCATAGTTTACATGGATGTGACCTGCATACGGTGCCTCCTCTGGATTTGGGAAACTCAGTTTAGTAAAGGATCATTATATTTTTATTGTGCAGTATGGCATAGGTGTATCATAACTTCAGTGCTAATTTAAAGTACTGTATAAACTACATTTGGGACAAAACATCTTCAGGCCATAAGTTGTTTAATGTTCACTGAAAAGACAAATGCCTTGAAGAAATGCCTTCTTTTGTAAGGAAATGTTAGAAACAGCCTGATTATCCCAGCAAAGCATCCCTCAGCATGAGCCTGTTTGGGGCTGCATAACTGCCAAGACTTGTCAGGAAACAATTATTTCATGGTGTGAAGGGACAACACGTGCATTACAATTCCTCTTTTACCTCTGCTCAGCGTTCAGGATTAATCCCTGTTTCTTGGGAGAGCTTAAAGAAATAATGGCGCAAGAAAGCAGTGCTCCATCTACTCTGAGGTGCAGGAATTGCAATCAGGCATTTGCATGTCTGTTCCCCTACCAACAGAGGAGCCAGTGATCCTGAAATGATTATTTTTTTTAAAATATTTCACAAAGTTTGGTCTTAAAGTCTACAACAACCATCCACAGGTGTTCTATCCACGTAGCACAGCAGCCTTGGGCTACTAAAAACTCCAAACTGAAGAAAAAGAGAATTATTTGAAATATGCAAGTGAACTTTGATAAAAAATCTTAAGTTTACTTAATTTACAGTTAAATGGGCTCTTTAAATTTTTATTGCAAGAAAATACTAAAGAAGAAAAACGCTGTGATATTGTATGTTTTAATGGAAGCAGTCTCTGTGGGGGAAAAAGAGCATGGGATGGCATTGCCTAATTGCTACACTAGTGAAAAAGAAAAGTAATACTGGTAGGAGACACTTGTAGAAACTAATTTCCACTGAAGGAAAAACGGTAATCTCTTACACGAGATTGGGAGGAACGACAAACTAAAGGTTAAAGTGTAGGATCTTGCTTAACAAGCAAATTATTATGTTAAGAGCATGATTTTGCTTGCAAATCAAGTGCTCCAGAGTTAAGAGCTACTGGATTTATGGTTGGCTGATAAGTTTTAATTGCATCCACTCATCTGTCCTCTGCACAAGACAGGCATCTTTCAGAGAAAAATGTAACACTTGAGACAATGTCATGCTGTGTACATACTAAAGGGATGAATTCAAATTGCACAAGCAGATACAAATTCGTAATTTCTGAGCTGTCATCCACTTGACCCTGCGAACTTCACAACATTTCTTCCGTGATATCATGATATCATGTAATTTTCTAGGGTTCTCCTCCCCAGCACTGTCTCTAGAAAATACAGCTGTAACACCTTTTCTCTGTCACACATCACCAACAGAACAATGTATACTTGTACCAGTTAAAAAATAGTCTAAAGGAAGTAAAGGTATTTCAGAGAAGGGATGGAGCACTGAGTGAATCTAAGGATAAATTCCAGGGGAGAGAAAGCAAAATGTCTTTTTCCTGATCCCCACTCCATCACTGTCCTGCCATCCCAGTCCCAGAGGACTGGCAAAGCCTGTGCTTCCTTTGATGTCTCCTCATCACAGATAATATGAGATCACTGGGGCACAGTGCTAAACTTGAGAATTCACACAAGGGGAGAAGAGTCTTTTTCCAAATGTCTGTCCCTGAAAGTCTACTTTGTCCATATGTCATTGTTAGATTAGGCAAGAGGCCAAGCTCAGCCCTCCCCCACCGCTCTGTGCCCCTGCCTTCAGAGGAGTTATCTGTAGCTATGGCTACATCATGGACAACATCTACACAAACTTACAGTGGCTTACATGGACACTGACAAAATCTTTCTGAACACAGAAAGGAAAGAGATGTGAAAAGGAAGCTTTACAGGACAAAGGGAAAGAACTTCAGTAGCTCTAAAACATTGCCCCAAGCAAGAATCAGCGGGCTGATTGCAAACAGCAGACAGGCCAGAGTCCTCTAAGAAAAGGCACATTAGCATTTCCAAACAGGAGCCAGACAGATTATGAATGCGGACTGCCAACATCTCCTGCTGGGGGAAATTCTTTTGGCTTGGCAGATTCCACAGTTCCAAGTTGGAGAGGCGTTGAAAACACCCCGTCCAGCAGAGAGACAACAGGAGAGACAACCCTGCAGTGGTGAATGCACCTCGGCTTCGCAGTTACACCCCTGGCCTCTCCTCATGGGCTGACCTGAACTGAGTTTAAGTCCAATTACAGTTTGTCAGCACTGATGCTGTTTTTTATCTCTCTGGAATTTCAGGCTTTATTTCTGCCAAAATGGACGTTGTGCAGATGACTCACTGCTCGAAACGTTTAGCAAGATTATTTATTTATTTATTCTTTCATTTATTTACTTAACATCAAATATCACAGCAGTTGCTGTTGTCGGTTGTTAAATTTCACTTCAGATTTCTTTAGTCAGCCACGTACCTCATCCTTGGATGTTTCAGAGTCCAGTTTCAGTGTGAGGAACATGACAATATGAGGCACGTCCTGAACTGCCTGCTGAAGGTCTGTTCTCTCTTCTCCCCACAGGAGCCGAACCAGATTGTTCATACTCGACTGTGCCTGTTTGTTCATTTGCTGAGAAGTTCCTTCAGGCTCAAACACTGAGGTTTCAAATGTAAGTTTAACCTGTTAAGATAATGAATTACTGTGAAAACTGTGAAGCTGTACTTACAGTGATGTCCCAACAGGCAGTTTGAGCCCTTTAAGAGATTAAGTTTTCTCAGCTTTCCTGACATGTAAGCACACAAAAGTTCTTGCTGTTTCGAGAAAAACCAATTATCCATTTAGCATTACATAACCATCTATTACAAAGGACAAACCCAGCTATTACATGCTCTATGAACCATGTGAGTAAGCATGTGGTTTGCTGGGTTTTCATGCTTAATTCTTATGGTCTTGAGAATGGAAAAATATACTTACTGCTCTGGGTTGGTTTGAACACAAAACCTATACTACCCTGATTTTGAAAAACACGCAATAATTGACTTCTTTCAAAATGTCAGCACTTTCCTAAGTGTGTATCCTCAAGGCTCTTTCTGGAGCACTTCTTTGCCATTTTGAGTGCACAGGAAAATACATTACACTGAAAAAGTCTGTTAAATTGTAACACTAGCGATTCTTTCAATCTTTGATTTTCACCATGTTAACTTTTTTTAACTTGTAAAATCAGCAAATAACAGTTTTGTTGCTGTATTTAACAATTCACACAACCACCAAGAAGCATAAAAATTGTTTCCATCCTTTGCTGTGCTGTGTTTAGTAAAGAAAACCCCACAAAACACAGAGCGTCCTCTCTTAAATAACAAAAGTTTAAATGATCAAGCTTACTTTGCCAAGGAATTATGGTTTCTGCCTTTATTTCCCAAATAAAGTAAAACCCAGGAATTTTGGAAGAAACGCATATTCCCTCACTAACAAGCAACACACAATCCAAACGACGCGGAAATATGTTTCATAATTTGCTTTATATTTTTTCATACTTTTTATTATCACTGCCTTACAAAAATTATGTTTGCTAATTGTTCCAGCAGCGATGAAAGAGCGATTTTTAAAATTTTTTTTCGTGAATAAACGCTGATATCCTAAGTATGAAAGAAGGAGATGGGAAGTTCTGAGCATAACACATCATACATCACACCAAATCCTGCTTCTCTGTTAAGTCAGTGACAGCTTAGCCCAAGTATTGATGCAACAAAAAAAGGTTTTTATTTTCCCAGTTGCAATAAAACTGAGAAGCCCAGGCAGAGGTAATTTATCCATTTAAATGGAGATCATTCTCATTTTCATAATCATGTATGGGTATGCACATGCTCCAAGAGAGGAGTGCCAGCAAGAAATAATGATGCTTTAAAACACCCACTACCTGTCAAACTGGCTTGGAGAGAAGTGCCATCATCGACTCTTACAGCTACAACATTTATGTCACTGGGTGCCACCTTCCCATTCCACTCCTGACTCTTTTTCTCTCCTGACTCTTTTCCTCTCCTATTTTGGCTGCTATCAGCTTTTTTGTCTTCTCCCGTTCCCTGGACCAGCACTGCCCTCAATCCTGCTCTCCTGCCCTGTGCTACCCCTGTCTCCTCTTACAGTCACTCACCCCTCACCCTCTCCTCACCATTCCAGTCTTGATTCCTCACGCTGCACATTAACAGGGCTCCAGGAGCAGAGACACCCAGCTAAGAAGCAGCTGCTCTGTAAGACCCAGTAACTTGACAGTTCACAGTTGCAGAGGTGAACGTTTTCTTCTCCAGCATTTTGTGACTCAGTTCTCTTTCTCTGTCATGCCATCTGCACGTATTTCAGAGCATTTTCCTCATACCCCCTTAAACTTTCTGCAGATTTCCTCGAGGCTCCGTAGTTATTTCTCTTCAACTTCTATTACATCTTGTCTGTGGACACTTACACGTGACACTTAGACTGCAGTCTCTACACTAGTGATGCACAGATGTAATTCTTGCTGCAATCTTTTAGTCTCTCAGTTTTTAAAGAACCAAACTCAGTCTTGTCTTAGAGACACCACCATACGGTCCTCCAGGGAAGAGCTCAAAACAAACTGGGCCAAACTGAACAAACTCCTCCTGTGGGCATCCATGCTGCCTCCCACATCCCTGTCATAGAAAAGGACCAAGAGACTGTATTTTTACATACCCTAAAACCTATTCTTTTTGTGTGTGTGTGTGGAGGAGAAATGAATCTTCATCTTCAGCAGTGCACAGGACCTGATTAAGTATGACTGCTGAAGTTCCCTTTTATAAGTCCTGACTATGAAACCTTCCACAGCTTTGATTTCATTTCTCCTAAAGAAAATCAGATGGATGCACAGCAGAGAAACAGAAAAGGAAATGACATGAAGAATGGGAAAAGCACAGAAAATGTTAGTATTCCACTCTATGTATCGTGCCTACATTCTCAATGCTTAGAACAGTTCTCAAAAAGAATTTAATCAAACGGCAAAAAGGAACTGATGAAGGTGGCAGGAACAGAAAGCTCTGAGAGACTTGGATGGGAATTTTCCGCTTAGGAAATACGTGACCAAAGTGGAACATGACAGAGTTCTCCTAAGCCATGCAGTGATATGAAGAGTAAGACATGAACAGACATAGCACAGAAACATGGGGGAATAAAACGCACTTAATTAGATGGCAATTTGAAAGCCAACGTTAATGACCATATCACAGATCAGTTACACCAATCACTGCTACAGGATGATGGGGAGGTCAGAGGAATTTAAAGAACTAGATGAACAAATGAGAATGTGCAAACCTCTAAGTGATCCTAACTGTTAACTGCTGGAAGCTGGAAAATGATGATTGGAAGGTCACTCTGTATTTAATTTGTTTCTTAATACTCTTACACATTTGTCAGTGTAGAAAGAGAGAAAATGTAGCTGTTATACCATTCGTCTGCCTCAGAAAGGCATGATTTCTGTTCATCTGCAGGGAAGTGTGTGCCTGAGGATATGGATTTTATTACAGGCAGAGCTGGTGGCATGGCCTGCATTTTAAAGCCTGCCTGCCATTTCCTGTTTTAAGGCCCTGTTTTCCATGTGCTTACCGTTTGCACAACTGGAACTCAAAATTTCAGGCTGGAATTTTCGATTCTGAATGTCTGCCCCAGGCTGAATATTTTTAGCAAGTTTTGGGTAAAATGGTTCTGCAGCTTCTGAATATCACAGTAAGGAAGAGTAAATTCTTGTAGCATATCTGGCCCTTCCTATTCTGTCTTCTGGTGCAAGGAAAGAGCAGTTTTTATGATTACAGAAAGGGAGAAAAAGAAGGGCTGATGTAACATTTGGACTTTTATTGCTCAATAAATATATTAAACTAGCCCTTACATGCCTAGATCTAGTTGCCTAAACTGAGGCAAAGGAAAAAAAATTCTGGAAATATAACAATGAGTTATGTTATGTCACATGCTGAAACTGAGAAAATATAGGGAGTTCAGTTTTTTTAATTAATTCCACCAATTTTTAGCATTGAATCCAGAAGAGCAGGGACTTCTCTCATGGAAATAACTTGCATTTAAGTAAAAATCTTTTAAATTGCTTCTTATTTGATATTTTGGTAAGATGAATAAGAACACATTAACGATTTTGCTTGTATGACAAAATCTCAGATACAACAACCCTCTGTTTCTTTAGCAGCATGGACACAGTGCTCTACTCTGCAAAACAACTCCAGAACTCTGTATTTAAATCTCCTCTGGTCTACTCCAGCAATCATTCTACTGGCTTGACTCAAACTGCAGAGTAAAAAAAAGGAATAATTGCACTTTAATAAAAGGGTTTGGAAAGCCCACATGCCAAACCATTACACATTTCAAATAATCACTGTCTGCTTGACAGATTTACTGACAATTTAAACATTAACATTGCATTAAAAGTAACTCCTCTATAAAGGGCTGCATTGTATTTTACCAACAAGTAATAGATATACTCTAATCTAGCAATGATACAATTACATAAACTACATAATCTCTGCTTTTTTAATCAGTCTGTATTTAATAGCAGTTACAGCAGCTCCATATTTGGTCAAAGACAGACAAGACAAGTTTTTTTTCTCCCGTGGAGCTCTGCCAATCCCTGACCACAGCTCTGGTAGCTTCGTACTGACAAATATCTTGGAAAGCTTCCTGAACTGACAACCCAGTCCTCAATCCCACTGCGGATACAGATACAGCTCCACAGGCACTTGCACTACACAAGTTGCGAAGAGAGGCAATGTTTAAGAAAACAAAGAATTGCCACTTTTTATCTCTGGAGTGTAAAACATTCCTATCATTATCATCACCTCGTATATTCTACCTCAAGAAAAACTACCAAGAGACACTACAGTTTTTAAACTGCTCCTGCTCATATCTGAAAGTGGCAATTTTTATCTTGTCTTCCTGTCCACCAGGAAGTGGATTTGCACAGAAGAACCCAAAACACTCAATTTTACGCTATTAACATCGAGATAAGTAACAACTCCCTTGATTTAGCTCCGAAATGGCTGTGTAATTCTTTATTAGTTACTTAATTCTTCGTTATAGTTCCAAAATTATCATTCAGCTAGAAGAAAAGATATAGGCAGTAGGTTTGGAGGGAAGAAACATTCATAAGGTCAAGTTTTTGGAGTTGTTTTTTCTATCAGCTTTTATTACTGGCTTCTATCAATTTTCATCACTGTTAAGTTTTGAACAATCTTAGAAGTATTTAGTCCAAAACCTCAAGACTTCTTTCTATTTAAATATTAGAGCAGTATCAATTTCTCCATTTAAGTGCTCTTAAACATTTTTAATAGCACTAATTGTAAATTCAGGCTTGTTTTTATTCTCTTGTGGTTTGTAAATCTTGCTTATATTAATGAATATATAATTATTTTAGTAAAGTATTTCCAGAGCAATTACTACCATTTTAAGAACAGTAATTGACAAAAAAAAAGCCACTACTATTTTGCTGACATATTTATATTTAAGCTAGACATCAATATCTTGCTTCATGCATGCTAGTGCTGCACATCTCCCTCCTTAAGTTCTGTTTCCTCAGGAAAAAAAGGCTAGAAATAATATCAACATTTACATAGGACATTTGGAATAAATGTTCAACTACTGTACCTGCATAGGACCTGGAATGCAAGACAAAACCCTTTCTATATTTTCAGAATTCACATCGACATCATTTACAGCAACTAAAGCATCTCCTGGAGGTGAAACAGACAAAAACATGAGAAAGTTAGTTGGCATCACACCACAATACACAGCCAAAGTGTCTTGTTTGAAAAATTAGCATGACCCTCAAACAGTCATAAACCTATATTTGTTACATTTAAGAAGATGGTCTCTACAGGCAACATTTACTGTGTTTGGAAACATTAGTGTGTTGCCTCAGTGCTCTTAGGGCCTTTACTGCCATGTTTGTACCATTTTACAGAAATCACTGAAGCGTGGAATGGTTTGGGTTGGAAGGGACCGTAAAGACCACCCAGTTCCAACCCCCCCTGACACGGGCAGGGACACCTTCCACTAGACCAGGTTGCTCAAAGCCTGTCCAACCTGCCCTGAAACACTTCCAAGGATGGGGCAACCAGAGTTTCTCTGGGCAACCTGTTCGAGTGCCTCACCACCCTCACAATGAAGAATTTCTTCCTAATATCTAATTTAAACCCATCCTCTTTCAGTTTGAATCCATTTCCCACTGTCCTCTCACTACAAGCCCAAGTAAGGAGTCTCCATCTTTCTTCTGTGACTGGAAGGTCACAATTAGGTCACCCCGAAGCCTTCTCTTTTCCAGGCTGAACAAACCCAATTCTCTCAGCCTTTCCTCACAGCAGAGGTGCTCCATTCCTCTGATCATCCTCCCACAGAGTAACTGTCCATGCCTCTTCCTTCCACCCAGGCTTATATCACTCGTGTTCCTTTACCAGAAAACACAACAATTTCATTAATCAGGTTACTTCCCCTCCCCTGCTCTGAAACCACCTCTGTTCACTTGCCAAGCCTTCTCCAGTGCTACTTCCACTGATAAAAAACCACTACTGTTCCCAACAGCACTCCAAAACTCACTCTTCCTGTTATTGTACATGTCAGTAATTCTTAGCTTAGATCGCTGAACTGGCACAAAACCATTCACTCTTCCTCATTTCTCCTCCGTCTCTCAAGCCACATCACAATTTAATCCTTTCCCTTCTTTTCCATTCCTTGTCCACTGCTGTGGCTTCTTATTCTGCTCTCTCCATGCCCGTTCCTCCTGCCTAACGGCATCTTGCATCTTCTACATCTGACACTCTCACTGGGAATGGGGAGGAAAAAACTCAGGATCCCAAAGAAAAAGTCATTCACTGCAAATGGGAAAGGTTTGAAAAATTAAAGGCACCAATAACAGACAGAACCAAATTAGAGCTTACAAACTTAAAATCCACGTTCAAGTTTAAAGTACAAACATCAAACTGGAATTTCTCTCTGAAGGAAAATATTCTCAGGAAGTATCCCAGTGATAATTAGTTGATAACCTCTGCCTCATCCCCCTCAGAAAGATGCATGTTTGAGCACAGAGTGTGCAAGAAAAATATGAGACCAGTGGAAAAGGAAACCAACCTGTGAAGTCAGAAAACATAAAAGTAAAATAACATCAAGAGATAAAACTATACAGGCCCGTCAAAAGGAACAGAAATTGCAAAGTAAAAACAGAAGGCTTTTTACCATTCATTTACTTTCAAAAAGAAAATGAAAAAAGGAAGCAGCATTAAAAAAAGGACACTTAAAGTTATTTTAGCTGTGGTAGTGGGAGACTAAAACCAAAAGATTTGATTACTTAAGCTGGCAATTTAGAACATCAGTCCAGTGTGTAAGGTGAGATTTTAGTTTGAACCTGAGTCAGAAAAACTCTCACTAAAAGGACATTCCTTCATGGTTTCTGTAATGTCAACACCCAAAGGTGGAAGCACTTTTCAGTATCACAGAGGAAGAAACCAATAAATATTACTGAAGGAAAAGAAATATAATAGAATTAAATAGTACATTCATTCTCAAGAAGGTAGTCAAGCAAAATAAAACACAAAAAAGACAAACACAACACTTGGATGCATCAGAAAAGGCCTTTCCTTAGAAGGCAGGTCAGTGATCCCACAGAGTCCTCCTTACGATGTCGTGATTAGATGAGGCAACATAAATTCATGACAACAACTATACCAAGTGACTGCCAGTGGCACTAGGATATTTGATGCTTTCCTGAGGATTTGGTCCTTTCCTGAGCCAAATATTTGACTTCAGAGAAACAAAATAGGCCTTTACTTTCTTTCTGCTTGATTTTCTTTGGTAGCACTTTCAGTTGTCTCTGCTTTCTGTCCTATCGGGTGAAAAACCTGATTAGTTTGTAGCTTGTACCTTCTGTCTGTAAGAAAGGGAAATAAAGAAATTAGCTTCTTCCTTAACACTGAAGGGGACCTGATTCCAAGGTCATTCTTATGTGTGAACTAAAAATACCAAGAGCTCCTCTGCAAGAGCAAATGGAAAATCAAGCCTCGTTTTGCTTCAGCTGCACCAAGGCTCCCTTAAAGCACCTCCACATCCTCTCCAAGATTATTAATACGGTCTTCATCACTCAGGCAGTATAAAGAGATTAGAAAAAGGATTTGTAGCAAATGTGCATCTTAGTGTAATTATATTTTAAGCCTTCACTTGGCAACAAAAATGTGATCCACTGCAGAAATACTGAACTATTGGAAGGTTCAGCACGTATTTCAGTGTTCAAGGGAGGAGATTTAATCAGCTCAAACTGACACAGTGATGATAATGACATGTGTACTAAGGAAAAGCACAACCTGTGTGTCTGAGGTGTCTCCATTTCCTGAGAATCCGCTAAAGGCCAGAGAATGCAAAAGTTTAGAAGAATACTGAGAGTTATCATTAATTCTATGTTCTACCTTCTAGTTAAGCACCATCGAATGCAACGGGAATTCTTCCCAAGTACAAGATTGATTGCTCCAAATCAGTGCAACACACAGTTAATGAGAGAAAGAACATTCTTCTTAACTACCCAGCACTAAGGAAATACTGAGTTCCCCAAAAATGCAAGCAATATTCCTCTTTAATGCACCAGACAACAACCAACCACTCACTCTTATTAAAGAAAATTTCATTCCTACTCCTTCTGACAGTAAAACCAAGAAAAGGTGGAGTTGTATTATACACATAAAAAGGTTATCTCCCCTTGGAGTAAGTTAAATTGTTTTTTTTCTTTCAGTAATAGTATCTCTCTCACTAACCTCTGTGTTTCTTAATGCACAATACAGTGAAGTTTTAGCCTGTGGAATCTTCAACGCAACAGTAATTCGAAGACAGAAAAGTTAAGAGTTAAATGGCATTTAAAAGCAATTCACCAAGTCCATGCCAGAGTTCTGGGGCTTGAAAATTAGTAATGAAAGGCAGAGCATTCAGGCTACTCTAATATAACAGGAATTATAAACAGAATTACTATGTTCTTTATTAAGAACACTACATTGAAAATCGTCACTCACAACTACAAAAGAAAGCATAAACTGCTCTTCTACTCAGCTGGAGCACTGTTTAAACAAAAGTTGTTTGGTGTTCTGTTTGTTTAGTAATTACTGTAGACCTTAGGAATTCTGCTGTAAGGAGAAGAGTCATCTGATCCACAAAGCCATTCAGAGGAGCTGCAGGCACTTTGGGAAGCCACGTGCACCTTTGGAACCACATCTCCCAGGGTGGAATGCACAAACACACTTTGAAAGAAGTGCCATCGCTATTTACACGTTGCATACCCGAAAGTGTATTATTTACTGCGTGCCTAATGCACATATGCAAAACTTTCATTGCAGCAATAAATATTTATTCCATTCAATTGGTAAAAAATGTAATCACATGCCAAAAGTGGAACAGCTTTCCAGAGGACCTACCCAGTGTGATAATTAATTGCAGTGAAAGGGTTTATACGTGCAAGTTCACTTTGTTAAGAGTTTCCCCATCTACATTTTATTTGAGAATTGTCTCCTCTGCTTTAGTATTGTGAAAAACTTCCAGAAAGTGAGACTGACTTAGGTCTTCAGACATTAAATATGCAAAAAAAAAATTGCACAAATTTATAAAGTTTAATCTAATTTCACTTACTTAACGCTTAACCACTTTAGGTTAAATGAAATGAAAGTCTAAATAGTGTTTGCAATTGTTTAATTCATCTAACTCAATGGTCTGCAGAGTCAAGTCGATTTATCTCAGACTAAATATTGGTGAATTACAGATGTAGAGAGGAACATTAGAAAAAAAAATTAATTCCATTTTTAGAGACACATTGAGCAACTACAATAGAGGAAATGAATTTTCTTCAGGCAGCTCCAGGATATCTGACCTTGAGTTAACAAATTTATTGTTAGAAAAAATATATGTCCTTCTGAAAGAGTGTAGATTTAAATCAGGTATTAGGAAGAAATTCTTCCCTGTGAGGGTGATGAGGCAGTGAAACAGGTTGCCCAGATAACTTATGGATGCCCCACCCCTGGAAGTGTTCAAGGCCAGGCTGGGGAGAGCTCTGAGACACACAGTGTCAAGCAGAACTGAATTCCACTTGAGTGATAGAACAGAGAGAGGTGAGGCGGGAATTCTTTCCTGTTTTCTTTGTTCTGTCTTTCCATCTTCTCATGAGAAGAGACTTCTCCCATCCAATCAGCAGCAGCAGCTCACAACAATATTGATCTCAGACACCCAGTCTGAACACAGGTGATAAAACTGAACCCAGCTGCCTCTTTAAAGACAAAGTTTAGATAAGTCTTTGGAACTGCTGAATCTCTAGGACGTTTCTTTCAGAACTGGTTATCCCTTTGCCACACGGGGAAAGGCACAGGACTGTTACTCCTGTTAACTCTCCAACCCCTGGTGATCAACCTGCAGGCACCATTTCTAAAGGCCTATCTCCAATGCATTAAGCCAAGGGACAATGACTGGTATCATCCACAATTAACTGCTGTCCCTGGAGAGTTTTCACATTTTTTTTGGCAACTGTACATACTGATAAGGTGAGAATATTCATGCTGAGATATTTGGTGATGAGAGCAGTAAAACAGTTTCAAAGAGGATAACAACAGTACGCTCTGCCAGTGACAAGAGCTTTGCTGGACTTGCAGTGTGGTTGAAATTACTTTTTCATTTGTATTATACTAAAGATGATGCTCATCAGCATTTCCCTGCTGTGAGTAGGACGGATTTCAGTTTGAAGGGGGATGGGAAGCAAATCATAACGGCATTTCCTATCATACCCCTTATTAGTCTGGATCTAAAAGCAGGTATTTTAGGGAGCTTTTCCTTTTTGAAGTTACATTCAAAGATGAGACTAGAAAGCTGCTTCCCATAACAGACCAAGCTTTGCATATTGTTGAAAATTAACTCAAGGAAAGAAACCGTTTTGCCAAAAATTCAAACAACACTTTTAAGAACACGACATAAAAGCAACTGTATTTCATCTTAACCAAAATGAAATTTACAGCAAGAGTTCAAAAAAATCAATGAGGGCTTTTCTGGTTTGAAAATTTAGGATGGATGCTGAACTGCTAAATATTAATAAAAAAAAAGAGAAATGAACTGATAAAAACCACATGGATGGAGTGCCATCTTTTCAGAGTTACAAAGCAGCAGGGATTTTTTTTTTTTTAGCTTGAAAAACCATTGTATTTACTTTCATATGGTCAGTGCCTGCATTCCACTTGGCTAATAAAGTACAGCAAAAAGACTTACGACTTCCATATGCAATCTTAAAAACAAAAATTAAAGTGCAGCGCACAAATAATAAACAGATGTTTTAAGTGTTCAAAGCTATAAGGGGTACACATTTCAAAACAAATAAAAGAAGCCACCTGAGGGAAGTGATTATTAAGGATGGAAAAGGCAGCTATTTCTACCGAAAACGTTAAAGCAATAACCACTTTGTGGGTCAAAATGAGTGCTGCAAACTGGTCACCAGGAAGACCACTGGATGTCATTGTAAAGCATGTATTTTAAAAGGAAAATGTGGTTTGTATTTGCTTCGTGAAAGACTACAAAAACTGGTCTGCACCACTGGAGGTTATTAAAATACTAAGAAGCAGAACAAGAACAGGTTAATGTCTATGCCTACACATGGAAATGAAGATGAACACATTTATAACCAGACCAGCAAGCAGGTACCATGCTGTACTGATCAGATATTCCTCATTTGTGATAGCTCAAGAAGCTGCTCACTTCTGTGCTAATTCTTCCGTTTTAGCCTGACCACAAAAATACTCTTTACTCTTTCCACAATTCACAAGAGAATTCCTAAAACCTGCTTTTATCAGCAACAACTGAAAGGCAAAGTTCTACTGTATTTTTTTTGAACTTTCTGTCCAACTTTAGACCCTGTGAGGATCTACTGAACTACAGTTGCTTCAAAATCAGGCTTTGGTGTACACCACAGCTATCCCATCCTCTGAGGTGCAATACAGATGCAGTAAACCAGACAGTTTTTTGACAAGAACAAAAATATTTTTTTTACTGTATATTCTTTATGTAGACAGCACTGAAACTCGAGCATCTAATTTATGCAAAGCATCCCTATTTCTAGACACCACATAAAAATTCCAGAGTATTCAACTTCGCTATAGATACATCGTTTGAAAGTATTTTTATGTGAAAATTATACATTTTATACTGCTGGCACTGAATACAGCTCATTTTCCCAGTTAAGAGCTGAATCACTCCAGTACGGTTATAAATATTTTGTTTTCAATGTGCAAAAACAAGGCAAGGGTTGGTGACAGCCTAGGACATTTTAAACTGCAAGGCTCTGTAGATTAAAGTAAATTTTCTTCTATTTGAAACAAAACAAAAACCCCACAGATTCTGTCCTCACTAGCTCTGGGAATCATTAAGTGCAGCAGATGAAATACTATCTCTGTTTAGGTTCACTTCATCTCCCGGATCTGGTATTTGCCTACCCTGTTTTGACTTCACACTTGCTCTTACGAACACGCCATAGACAAATCTGCGTCCCAGAATTAACTTCCAGGTTATAAATACACACTCTTGCACGAATTAGATTAAATACCATTAAGCAGATCAAACTCGCTCGCTCCTCCCCCTCAGTCTGCATCCCCCACTTCTTGACTAATCAGTTCTTGCTGGCAAAATTGGAAAGTTATCCAATTTTCCCTCTGGAGTATTCTTCAGGAACCCTACCAAAAACACGTGCTGGAAGCATCAGCTAGTCAAAGCACGATCTGCCTTCTTACACACACAACACTGGGATTTCAAACCAACTCATGCTGACTTTGTGGGATTTGTGCTACTACAGCGTTAAGATTTTCAGGATCTCCTAACCAACATCCCATCTTTTGCTCTCTTGCTCTACGAGGGATCAACTTCAAGGGGAGTTAAACAACGTTCCGCCCTTTGCAGATGTGGCCTGGTTGTCTCACATTTACTGTCTCCAAGGTTGGCCTCCTGTGAGTGCCAAGTCATTTAAAGGGCCTCAGTTAAAGTGGGAGTATTTCTACTCCTTCATTTCCACTCCCAACAGTTCATTCCTCTCAATTATTCACGTTCGGGTGCTTGTCAGACCTTCTGTGACCCGTGTTTAACGTACTACACCCCCAAAACACTATACAGCCAGTTTTTCTTCTGGGTTAGGTTCCTGCCAGGTTATGTAGCTGTATCAGCTCATGGAAGTGTCTGATGAGCCAAACCAACACAAAGGAGGGTGACTAAGCTGGCTCACTGCCTCCCCAAACTGCAGCACCACTATGGATTTGGAGTCTCCCGACCACAACTGCTGAGGAAGCAGCTGTCAGACGTGCTAAACAGAAAAACAACCAAACAAGGTTGCGCAGAAAATTTGTAACACGCATCTTACTTGGTATTTTTCCCTCATTTTTGAGACACAAAATCCATTTAAAGCATATACAGTAAAGCTTTTCATCTAAGGGGGATGCTGTGGAAAAGACTGAAAACTAAATAAATACAGTTTTTGGCAGACTATAGGCTTTTCCCAGTCCCACTTATCTAGGGAGTAAATCCTGCATTAAATTAAAGGGGGGGTGGTGGAGGTGGTGTATTTCTTGCTCCATGTTCAAGCTGCTCAGTCCCTGTACACTAAGGGATAGTCATCTCCTTACTGTATTTACACCTTTTAAGTTACGTTCTTAAAACCACTAATATAGTAAAACTGATTGGGTAACAAAGCATCAGACGTCATGACATTGATTTAAAATGAGTCCTCAAGAACTGATGTAACAGCTCATGTCTCAGGAACACTCAAATCAGCTGCCTAAAAAAGAAAAAAACCCCACAAGTCTTAATTTCAGAGGAGGAGGGCAGAAGTTGACTATTCCTCTGATTACTTACCAATCAAGATTTGACCTGTTTTCGCTGCAGAACTGCCTGGCACCAAGCCATGAACCACGAGCTTCTCTTCACCAACTCCTCTGGTGACTTTATCCTTCCTGCCTTGTTTCTCCACTCTTTTGCTGCTCCATGAGGACTGATGGACAATTCCCACTAAGGCCTCCAGCAGCCTCTGCTGCTCCTCTTCTCCAGCACTGCACAGTTTTCTGGGATTCACATAAACATGCACGTCTTTGTACTTTTGCTGAACGGTGACGCCCGTTTTCTGCGTGGATTGGTGTTTCAATATGGAAGTAGGACCAGTGGAGTGCACGTTGCAGCTTCCACTGCCTTTCTTACCAGAATGCTTGGGTAAAAGATTTTTCTTTTTTAATATTTTGGTCCACTTCTTCAGCTCATACTTTCTTTCCTTTCGTGATCCCTCCTGAATAATTTCAGCTTCATTTTCACGAAACCGGACGTGATTCACTGCTGGCATTTCTGGACAGCTGTTCTGGAGCAGAGTTTCTTCTTCACTTTCACTCAATTCTAAATAAAATAATTCCCCGTTTTTCTGCACACCGTCCAACCATTCAGGCTCAAGATCACTGGAAAAGAAAAAAGAATGATCCATGACAGTTCTGATAAGGAAGATTGCTATGCAAGTGACATCTGTTTTAACTAGGGAGGGACAGTGTGCAAGGGATAAAAAAAGGAAAAAAAACCAGTTGCCTCCTGAATATTGACAGTTCAACTGCTTAAGTTTGCCATAAGGATTAGTGCTTGTCTTAGACAAATGATGGAAATGGCAAGGAAAGACATCCCTCCCAGATCTTAAAACAGTTTCTTCAAATGCCTTACAGAAAAACAGCCATTGCAAATAGCAACATTCCCTTTCCTGAAAACAAACAAATTTTAATTAGTAATTACATTCATGGGCAGGATGGGGCTTTCTCTTAGAAAAAAAAATGCCATCCTATTTGTTCTCTCACATTATTTTTGCCTTTAGAATGTAATCAAAGTGTGATTTTTGGGGTTGTCCTGTGCAGAGTCTGAAGCTGAACTTGATGATTCTTGTAGGTCCCTTCCCTACGATGCTACAGGAAGACAGATTGTACTGTCAGCCCTTTGGAAAGACAAGATTAACATTTTAAAATCACTTAAATTTAACAAGAAAAAAACCCCAAACAACCCAAGACGAAATTTAGGTAACACTTTTTAACAGCCAAGTTCCAAATAGCAGCATGTTCAAGCTCACATGCAAAAATACACACTAAAAGGAGGCAGCACTGCTGTCAGAAACAGTTCTGACAGCTGGGGTGGATCACTTTAAGTCACAAGCAACACGCTCCTGCAAAGCAAAGGCAAAGCAGCTCCAGGATGTATTAACAAAAGTACCATCAGCACAGCACAAAAAATTTTTTGTCCTAATTTGGCAACAACGATGCGTCAACCACGTCCAGTTTTGGATAGTGCATTTTAAGAAAGAGGGAATAACTGGAACATAGCCACAGCACAGAGGCAAAGAGTAAGTAGTGTATAAACATGTTTTAAAGGGAAAAAGACTGAAGGAAATCATAGTCTTTTGACTGAGGAAAAAAAGTACAACCAGAAAAATGGTTGCTGAGGGGCAATATAGGCCAAATGAACCCCAAGGTGAAGCACCGAGTGTTACCACAGGATGAGGATCAATAATGACCGAAGCAGGAGTACTCAGAGTTTTAATCATCTAAAATGCTCTGTATGGAAGACTTCCAGGAACAGATAAGGATAGTTCATTCATCCCAACTAGATGACAAACAGGTGTCCCTGTTTCATAAAAATCATGCAAGGAAAAACCAGATTGGAGATTTACATCAGAATTAACATCGTTCATTGCTTCAAGTTAAAATACATTCATACATTTTATACCAGAACTAATTTTACAGAATAATGAGTGAGTTTTGTTTAGAACCAGTATTAAATAATTCAAATAGAGCATTAGAGAACAGATAAATGAAACGGCCTCAATACCATGCAAAGACATTGCACCACAGCACCTTTAAGGGCACAAAGAAAAGATCTGGTTGGACTAAGAATACAGAAAACATTGGCATTACTCTCTTCCTGGAGCCCCAGTTACTGCAAGAAGCATATGGAAGCTGCAGACAGGAAGACAGGTACTTCCTCTGCGTTTATTAATTTTTTTGTGCCCAAGTTGATAGTTTTAAAAGAAGAGCCATGACTTGGGAGGATTTGGCTAATCCTGATGGTCATGGGTAAGTCAGAGTTTGCAACTTCTACTAGATCTTACTCGAGATCTTGTGTATCTGAGTCAAGGCTGCTAAGGCCAGACAGTATCTGATATCTTTCAAAAGGTGGTAGGCGAGAAATAACACGCCAGAGTTTTCTCTTGTTTTGTTTTTAAAGTACTTCTGCATTCTGGTAGATGTAAGCAAAATGAGAAAAAACCAAAATCGAATAAGGAAACACTAGAAATTTATGAAGAAATAACATGTGGATTAGCAGAAACTCCTGTGATGTATGATGGCTATTTTACTCCCTCTCTAAAAGGGATTGTGTTCTTTGGAAAAGCTCTTTCTTCTTAGGGGCAATGTCAAAATTCCAACTTGGATGTCAGTTCATACACTCACATTCTCCAGCTTTGTTGTGTATTCTTACTACAGTGTACCTTACGGACTAAGAAAAGAAAAGGAGTGGGCATTTGTAGCATTTACATTATAATGTAAAGGAACTCTCTCAATGCAGATCTGTAGAGACATCTGAAAAAGAAAAGTCTGAAACAAGAAATCTACAGCTAGGATGACACGTTTCCCCCTAATGCTGTAGTGTCACTATTGATTTAAACTAAGCAAGGAAAAAAATATCTGATTTCCATCTCCCTTCCCTTGTGTCAAACAAGCGTTTCCATCTGCGTCTGGAGGCTTCAGTTAAGGGACCTAATAATCTGAAAGACCCACATTCCTTTAGAGCAATTTCACTGATGCCACACAGGTATTTCTCCTTTGGGATAAATTCCTGGAAAATTGTGCCAATTCAAATTGTCCATGTATGGAAGAAAGACATCCAGAAAGAGAGGATCCACGTTCTGTTTCTAAAACAAGAGAAGGCTCTTCTCGCCCAAGGAAACCAAAACAATAAAACCATTAAGATCTTGACTCTGCCCAAGGCAGGGGGATTGGAATTAGATGATCTTTAAGGTCCTTTCCAACTCAAACCATTCTGTGATTCTGTTAGCCTGTTTTAAAGCAATGAAACAACAAATCAAGGCTTTACCACTTTTAGGTAACTGCACTCAAATTCCACCCATGTGAGACTCTGCAGAAGTGAAGATCGTCATCTTTAGCTTTTTAAACCTTTGGCTGTGCCATAGCTAAGTACAACTTCACGCTGAGGCATCGATTTGGTATAGGCAAAGCTGCCATCCTCTAACTGCCTATGGCTGCCCAGATGGATTCTGACTTAGTGACACAAAACGTTAAACTCTTTTACCATAGACAGAACTATTAAAAACACAAACACGCTGCTTTCCCGCTGGCACATGAAACCATTCACTTCTCAGCTCTGTCGGAGCTTGGCACTTGTAACACACGTGCGAAGTCCCTCCTTCCCCTCCGCTTCGCAGGCCGTGTCCAGCCGGGATTCAGGACTCATCCCAAGGCCTGCCCGCGGCTGAACTAATGCTGCTGCTCGCCGCGTTACCGTCAGGGCTCGGCAGAGAGACGTCTCCTAAAGCACAGAGCGTCCTCTGCTACCGGAACCATCGCCGCTACACTCACAGCGCCGGGGCGGCGCAAACCCCGCGAACGCCCCCGACCGCGGCTCGCCCTTCCCGGCCCCGCCCTTACTCGGAGCTGGCGGACAGCGAGGAGCCGCAGGAGCCGCTCCCGCTGCCGGTGCCCGCAGGCTCAGCGCCTTCTCCCCTCGGCGGCTCCATCGCCCCGGCGGCTCCGCTCCCGCCGGGCCCCCCGGACGCCATGACACCCCCCCCCACGCGCCGGGCGGACACGTGACCCGCGCCGCGCCCTCCCATTGGCCGCGTCCCCGCGCGCCATGGAGACGGCGGGAAGCGCGAGGGGTTCGCGCCGAGTGTGTGAGGGGAGGGGGGGCGGGAGCGGCACCGCCACCTAAAACTGAGGGCCAACCTCCCCCCTTCGACCCCTCCAAACTAAGAAACTGCCTTAGCAATCCCTCGCGAATAACCAGACTATTTGTTTAGCTGCCTGATGTCAAGGTCCCACATCTGCCCCGTGAAAGAGGTTGGTAGTGTAACTCGGCAGTCCCTGGGCCAGAGCGTTGTTTGTAATCAAACGCTGACCTGGAGGGGGAAAACGTGAGGTAAAAAGTGGCTTTTAAGTCAAATAGGTAGCAGTGGGGTACCTCTCTGCTTTATTTTATACTCTTATATTAGCTTACGGAGTTATGAGAAACTCAGGTAACTTGTTTTTAGGTGAGTCAGGAGAGCAGTGAGGTTCAGGAGAAACAAGGATGTGACAGACCCAAACAAGCACCTTAAAACAGCCCATGCAATCTACACATGAAAATCACGCGCAGTCAAAGGAGAGACAGAAAAACCCTACTCTGTTTTCGGGACATAAATTATTCCCATCCATGAAAAACAAGACCCATGGCAACCCCACAGGCAATTTGCTGTGTAGCTATGTCAGTAAACCCATCAGGACACGCATGGGGAATAGGGAAAGGATGGAGAATAATTGTTGGAACATTTTTAATATGTTGGATTTAATGTCTGCTCAGTGGGATATTTGCACAGCTTCACCAGCAGGGTTTTATAGTGCTGGAGCACTGTGTAGAAGTCACAGAATTCTGGTACGAAATCCCTATGCTTGAAACTGCTTTAGGGAAGCGTTTGTTAATGTGATTCCAAGTGAATTAACAGAAAGAAATGTTTTGGACTCATATCCATGTGATTAGGCTTCAACTGGAGTTGAAAAAAAAAGTTCTGTTCTACTATGATTTTATGTGGTTTAGGACAGGATATTGCAGTTAATTTAAGGGGCTTCTTTCCCATATCTGAGCAGGCAACAACCACGTCATACAAAATATATAACCCATGCATGGTAGACAATTCCTTTAAAAAAATTAAAAATCAGATCTTTGGTTGTTTGCAAATGTCAGACTCCAAGTTATGCACCAACTTTCGTTCTGTCTATCACTTCCAGAAGGACAGGTGGAAAGAAATGTTTTTAAAGTACACCACTTCCCAGACAATTTACTTTGTGAAAACAAAATAGTCTGCATAATCAGCATTTCCCAAAGAGCCTAATGAGTTAGGATTTCCTAAGAGGAATACTGCAGGAGTTAGAATTTTAGGAGAAGTAGGTGAGATACACTGTCCTGCCCTCCCTAATTCTGCTTGCATTTGCAAGCACTTTTAATACTCTGAGCAGCACACTGAAGTGTTTCTGTAGAGAAGTGATAGTCAATGCCAGATGGTCCCATGTTAGTTAAATTTCACTGAGTTCAAGAGCTGGTTAATTGATTCCAGTTGTTTGCTCTCTAAGTGAGAAATACAGGCTCTCTCAAGGAGGCAGTGGTCTTACACCACTTGCTGTTTTATAGGGATAAGCTTATTATGAATGGAAGGATGATGGAAGAATTTGGTCCACTGAGAGGGATAGCTGGGAGTCACCTAAGTGTTCTTCTGAAACAAATGTGGAATTTTTGCTGCTCTGGGAACAACTGAAGGCTGCAAGACATACCTCACACAGCAGGATTTTATTTTAGCGAAGACACGGATTTTCCCATTCGGTCCCTCTCGAGAGGAAAGCCTCTCATTTCTTGGGTATAAATATTAGGAAAAGACTTGAAATAATTTGTCTTCTGGCAGATACTTTACGCTTAGTCCAAGTAGCTGGGCTGATGCTTCTCGCTAGGGAACCCCTAAGCCTTCTGTGCTAAGTTGCTGTTGTTAACAAGCAGATGGTAAAGACTTGCCACAGGGCATCACTGGCATCACTAGTACTGCTCACTCTCACTGGACAACTGGTTAATGAGCACTTAAAAGTGGATCGTTAAAAAGCACTCCCTTTGGCCTTAAGGTTGATCTGATTAGCTGTTCCTGCAAAGAACTAAATCCACGTGTGTAAATTTATTCCTTAACAAGAGTTTCTTGTTACTTTTTTTTTTTTTTTTTTCCGGCTTAACCTGCTTCAAAAGCTGCTGTGTTTTAAAAATAACAGAAAATAATGCAAAAATATTCAGAAACTGACTGAAGTTAAAAGAAGACAGAGTATAGGACATACCAAAGAGACATTCTGGTTCTGTCTAATAAAGTAGTAAAATAAGTGGAGCGCAACATCATTGTTTTGGTACAGTTGCATGCATACTCCAACCACTGCCCAATTTCAACTACTAGTATTTTTTCGTTGTTACATACTGACAGCTGATTTTTTCAGCCTGATGATAAAGAATTGAGGCTGGATTTAGAGTCTTTCCTAGCACCTAGATGGGAGAGCACAGGGAAATTTATCTTTTGCAAGACAAATCTCACTGGATACACCTGGACTATAGTGTATCAACAGCATTTTAAGTGTCCCTTTGCTTTCCCCCCCTTCCATACTTCAAATCAGAGCTCTTCTTTAGTGATGAAGAACTAAGAAGGCCTAAGTGACTTGTTATTGTTTCATTTTTTCCTTTGTTCTTGTTTTCAAATCCGTTACTATTTCCAGGAAGGCTCTATCAGCAACTGGCCACAAGTGATACGTTACAGATATAACCTGATACATTACTAACAGAGAAAGCTAAGAGGAAAATAATAGTTTCATCTTTGTTTAACAGTTCTGTTTCTTGATGCTAACACCTGCTTTACCGAAAGAAAAACTAACAAAAAAATATCGAATTCTAAAGAGTGACATTATATACTTTTTCATCTATTGATCCCTATTTATTTTTTTATTCCTCCAGTGCACAGCATCAGCAAAAATATAACAGAAATAATTTCCTCTTTTCTAAAGGTTAATGACAACAACACAGCTTTCCCCTGCCCTGCCAAAGTCTTTCTTAAGGGACAAAAGGCACATTTCACAAGCATTTCTTATTAAATGAGAGTTTTTATCACAAGGTTTCCATAAAACTACGTGAATAAGATTGTAACTGCAGCATCTTCTGTTCACAGCTTCATGATTGCATAGAGACCATCCACAGCAAAGTAGCATCAATTGAATAGTGACACTGGACTGTCATTTTAATTGGGATATTTACATATAATAAGACTAAATGGAGAACGAAGGCTACCAAAGGAACAGAAATTTTGTGAGAAAACACTCCAGTGCTCAATAAATAAACCAGACTGTTCTTTCTGACTTCTTAAGCTTTCTGTATCAACTCTGTTGGACCACAGAAAGTATTATAGAAGAACACGAAACCAACAAAAAGACAGCCATGAAGAATCTGGGACGACTAGCTCAACCCATCTCATTCTTTTGGAAAACAGTCCCATAGAGTTAAGAGTTCCCTCCAGCATGAAAAGCAGCTGTAACTTCAAATACGATTTTTTTTTCTACTGTTTTTACTTCACTTTAAATCTACAGGCTTTTTTTTTTTTTTTTTTAGGATCACCTGCTACGCATAGCAGGCATGTCAAGCATGAAAGAAAACCATTATTTGCCGTCAGTCAACATGCAAATGTTTCAAGCACGAACAGCCTTATTACACTTAGAGTATATTAATATAAGCAATACCATGGGGCAGCATGTTTTTAATCCAGCTTTGAGACGGAACGTTTTCTGTTAAGTCGCTGACTGATCCACGCACAGGGTTTGAAAAACCAGAGGGTTCGCTGTTAGCAGATGGACACGTTTATTGCTCATAAGGCGGCTTCAGACTGGCCATGCAGGAGCAGGCTGATCCTGGCACGCCCTCCTTGCTGTACTCTGTGTTTGCATCCCCAGCGCTCACAGGAATGGATTTCATGTGACGCCTCGAGCCGGAGTTAATAACCAGTTGTGAGTTTCCATAGCAAGGGCTGTTTGGAGCTGGCACTGGGAGTACCCGTGCGCTTTTACTTTTACAATAGGAAAGAAATCAGTGTAGCTGCGACACAGGAAAAGGACGCTTTACTCAGCGACTGGAGATGAGCTTCTCTTGGATACTGTTGAATGGGATGCTGTTTTCTTTGTAAAGTGTAAGCGGCTCTCAGCTAGTGCACGAAAAATGGCATTACGGGTGGCTTTTCAAAGTCCTGCACGGGCCTATTGGGCCAGATCTCGTTGTCGGGATGTCTTTGTGAGGGGATACCGTGGAAAATCGCACGTTAGGAATGGTGAAGGCAGGCGGAAAAGCAGCTGCTTCTCATACAGCGCTCCTCCTGAAGATCCACTGAAGGATTTTTTTTTTCCATGCCCCCTGGACCTTAGGATACGTTTTCCCCCTCCCCTTAAAGAAGGGCTCAAAATGCTTATGGCATTGATGCAAGAACATCAGTCCGTATCAGCCCGCTTCCTTACACATGTGAGAGACCCAGGCCAGCTCCCCTCACCTGCAGATCCTCCTCTTTCTCCAGGAAGGAGAGAGGGTAACCCGAGGGCGCCTTCCCTTCCCTTCCCGCTGCACCGCGGCAGCCCCGGCTCCTGTCTCCCGCTGCCTGCGCCCACCGGCGCCCGGGGCGGCAGGACACGGCCCCTCGCCCTTCCTGCCACCGCAACAAAAAGGGAGCTTGCCGGGGAGCCGGGCGCTCCTGTGTCCCCTCCGCCCGGCGAGCCCTGCCCTGCGGAGGGGCAGAGGCGAGTCTCCCGGGGTAAGCGGTCGGAGCGCGCAGGGCGCCGGAGCCTCCGGAGCTCGGGAAGCGAAGGCAGCCGCTCCCCCCCCTCCGTCCCCGCCACTGACCTGTGCAGCAGGACGCTCTGCACCGAGTCCAGGTCCTCGAGGTTCCTGGTGACGGGCCGCGGGATGCTGTACCTGCCCGCCCCGAACATCGCGGGTGGGCGGGCGGGCAGGCGGGAGGGCGAGGGGCCCTCGCATCGCCCGCCCCGCGGCACCGGGAGTGCGGGACCGCCGCGGGCAGGTGGGAGCCCCTCGGCCCGCCCGCCGCACCGCCCCGCCCGGTCCCGGAGCCCGCTGGCGCCGCGCCGCGGGGCGCGGGGGAAGCGCGGAGCTGCTCCCGCAGGGATGGAGGGCTGGGGGAGCGCGTCCCGCGCTGGAGAGGGACCGTGGGACTGCTCCCGCGGGGGTTGCGCTGTCGCACGGTATTGCTTCTGGCAGGAACTTGCAAACCGCGAAGAACCAAGTTTTATATAAATGAAGTAAAGTAATTCCTAACTGCAGCCGTAGATTCCACCCCCTAGAGCTTCATCTGCAGCTACCACTGTATGAGAAAATAGTTTTCCCCCACGTATTTTTCTGTTGGTCGAACTAATGGAATTGTCCAGTTGATTCTATTTTCTTAGATATTAATACGAATAATCGTCGATCCCAAATATTTGATCCAGTCCTTGTTTCCCTTCCTCTTTGACAAAATGGTGATTACAAGTGGTTTCAGATGATCTCTGAGTTACGCGACTCCTTACTGGGTTCCCATCTGCGAAATTCTGACACAGTGTGCCTGAATGAACAGGCATGTCAATGCATAAAAGTGGTGTGACCCATATCTTGTCCTCTTATTTCTTCCCATGAATTGCCATAATATTTTTCCTCTTCTCCCTTTCACTAAGAGATCAGTTTTCTGTAATGACTAGGATTTTTCAAGATGCGGTCATCTGCTACAGATTTGCTCCTACAGGTGACATAAGATCAGTAGCTAATAAAGTCTTGCAATCTGTTATTAAAAGCCTCATCAGGTTTAGTTTCCCCCAGTCACTGTGTCTGAGGCAATTATAGCAACACAGCAAGGAAGTAGTTTCCCAGAAAGGCCATTAAAGGGGGACCATTAGCGTGATACAGAATAGAAAGCAAATTGGAAGCCATTGAATATTTTAGTATCCAGTTCCATGGGATGTTGGCCATTACATGGAGCAAAATCTCCAGCTTTTTTGAAAACTTTGGCTTGAGCAGACAGCTCAGCAACAGCTGAGTTTGGAGAGGGGGAATGCAGAATTACTATGAGTCTGTAGCTGGGATTCTCACCGAGTAGTATGACTCAGATATTCAGATGTCTCACCATTTTTGCCTTTCTTAACATTTTGTTTTCATTCTTTCTTTGAAGCAAGAATCCCCTCTGAATTCTACTCGTGTCAAAGATGTGGAAACCATCATCATCCACTCAAGTGAGCAGCCGCAGCAGCACTATGGGTATGACCATAAAACCTTTGTCATGATCTTTGGCACCAGGGGTGCTAGGGACGCTGAAGGATTTGGGGTTTAAGTGGTATGTACAGTGGGCACTGAGCAAAGAACTTCTTGCAATGCTCGCATCTTCATTTCAGGAAGCTGATGGAAGTTTCATGGTGGTTGTGTCACCATCGCTCTGGTAAAACACTTATTAGGCACAATCCATGTTTTTAGGTGACTGCCCCAGTGGGCAGTGTGTGATCTGAAGTTTAGAATACTTCAGACAGAAAGATTCCTGGAAGCATGGATCAGATGGCAAGGGGAGAATTTTTCCTGCTATTCACAGCTATAGCTACTTCTGTGTCTTCCCAGTGTGTCTGCTGTGGTAAACGAGTCCTACACATGCATACTGAGGATATAAATTTTAGGCTAGAATGTCATGTAGATCTGGGACTTCAGCAGCTTATCTGAACTGCTAGGTTCCTGTTGGTCCTGTACAATGTGGTTTTCAGAACAGCATTATGCAACAGTGGCAGAGCAAAAAACTGTGGAGGCTTACTTTGCTATGCTTTTTTTTCACCCTTTGCACCATTTTTGTGCCCTAAGGGAACAGAGATGTTTAATGTTTACACAACGGGGATGTGTTTTTCCAATTCCCTTTGGTCAACACAACCCCCACGTCTGGGGCTGTCATTTGAGGGTAGAAAACAACAAAACTCCCAAACATTACCATCGAAATCACCCTGCATGTCCAGGAGGCCTTTCCAAGAAGCTTGTCAGATTTTCCTTGTCCCTGAGTTCCTTCTCGCTGGGAGAACACTTTTTTATGCTTCTTACAACTACTTTAACGATAACATCATCTGCTACTAATACTGTACTTTTATATGAGTTTAAAATTTATGGTGAAGGTCTGTATTATGATTGCTTACAACTCAGCAAAACACAAAAATGTAAGTGAAGAGACCCTCAAAACATGCCAAAATGAGACAAGGTGACTTTGCTTCTGTGTGGTTTATGAAATGGCAGATCCCAAAGCACCATGCTGCTGATAAACAAGCCAAATTACTAACTTTAAAATCAAGTAAGATGTTTTTCTAGATATGAGTTCCAACTTTTACTACATTTAGTGTGCCTAGACTCACTATTTATGGATGATGCAACTGGAAAATGAAAAAAGAGCAGAAAATCAGAAGTGATGCAGTGGATATTTTCAGAGCCCAGTATTTTTTCCTGATTTGTTCCCATAGTTGAACATTAGTTTCTGAAGTTAAAAGAGGGAGTTCTGAGCTAGCATTAATCCTCTTACATGACTTCTGCAACTACCCCAGCCTCTGACATTTAGAAAAATTCTTGAGTTTTACAGACTGAAGTTTCACTAAAAAAAGTGCAATTTTACTGTATTTTCTGCAACATTTTAAGTCACAGAAAAAGGATGGTCAGCATTCCATTTGAAGTTTGTCAGCTCTTGTATTTAACTGTACATATGGAGAACATGGCACTGCAGCACATTTCCTGAATCCAGTGAAATAAATGCAGTTGGAGAAAGATGATAACGTTCTGCAATGCATAGAAACAAAACCAATAGGGATTGGGGAAGGGGGGAATTTAACCAGGTTAAACACACGGCAATGACAACAATGAAGAATTTTAAGAGGCACCCTGCATATAAAATAATTAAAGCATGCCTGGGCTCCCCTTCTGTTTGTGGTAGTTTTGCTGTCAGTTGAACTGCTTTGTGAAAACCCTTCTGCTTTTTTTACAGAGCAATTCTGGTGTTTCTGATGTAAAAGGAAAAAAAAAGAAATAGTAAAGTATTACGATGCTATACTTGTGACAGACACCTCTTCCTGAGACTGTACTGTGTGTTTTTCTCCAGCAGATGTTAGGCTCTTGATTCTGCAACTATTTCCTATGCTGACGAGGTCAGAAGTTTTGGAATCATAATCCCCTTTTGGTAAAGACCAAAAGTCTGCTGTCTTTGAATACCTTTGATTTATTTTGTTATGCCAAGCACTAAACCATGGCAGCTGAATGTCGAGTTCACATATCCATTACACTGAGCTGTGGCAACCAAAGGGGTCAGGAATGATGAGCCAGAGACCGTGTTTTCTACTTCTTTGAAAGCACAGAGATTTGACAGCCTAAGGATTTTTTCCTAATCTGGCTGGCTCAAGTGTAGTTTACCTTTTACTTTTAAACCTCAGAGGGTTGTTTATCTTTGGATGTATTAGGCAAGCAAGAGCTCTAATTAGCACAGGGGATGAAAACCCGTGAAGGAAATGAATCAGCACTGGATTGTCCTGTTTTGTGTTATGTTATATTGTCTGCTCTGATACATGGGTTCATTAAAAATGTGCTTCTACTGTCTTAAAAATGTAAGAATAAATGCAAAATTTAGTAAAAAGCAGTGATTTGCGTTAGTGAATATAGTTCTTCAGAATCAAGAATCGTAAAGAACTAATATGCGT